GGGGGGGGGGGGGGGCTTTTTTCCCTAAGCTGACTGCTTCTTGTAGTCACTGACATTTCACAGGTTTTCCGAACACAGAAGAGTAAGTATTTCTGCGTATTAAGTTGTGGCCCCGTTCTGCTTCTCTTCCCCAGGTAACAGGCAGGGCAGGTCAGCAGTTTCCCCGTCCTTTTAACTTCTTCTCCCATACAAGCGGCTAACCGGGGAAACAGAAGAAGTTGCTTAACTGCTTTTACTTATGCATTCACTGCTTTAAAAATATTTTCAGCTTTGAAAATCACGTAAGTTTTCCTACCGGCTAACTGCTGAGGACTCCCCTTACCCCGGCCAGCGATTAGGGCCGCTCCGCTCCTGAGGGAAGGGCGCGAGGCGGGAGCAGCGGCAGCCAGTCAGAGGGGACAGCTCAGCGAGACAGCCAATCAGACGGGAACACTCTGGGAGACAGCCAATCAGACAGTAACGCTCTGGGAGACAGCCAATCAGAGGGGCGAGTTCGCCGTCCTGAGTGGGCGGGGTGAAGGTGCTGCAGCGCTGAGGGGAGTGTGGTCGTGGTGCCGTGAGGAGCTGGGGTGGGTGATAGTGGTTGGTTCGTGTCAGTACCACTGTACATTTAAAAGTGTTTAATGCTGGCAGAAGTATCGTCCTGCATATTTGGTTTACTGGGTGGTGTTTCCTCGAGTCTTTGGAGAATGAAACAGGGTCATAGCCTGTTACAGACTCGCTGTTTTTCGTTAAAAAAATTTGAAGACTTCCTTGTAGCCTCACAGACTAGTATTTCTAGGTCCCACTTTTTCAGCTTTAAATTGGAAAGTTGGAACGTAGCCGGGTGCAGCGGTTTCGTTGTTTACTGAATGGCACACCCTTAAGAAACTAGCGGTATCTGGAGTGACTACTGAGCAATTCACTACTTCTAGGTGTATTAATTCAAATTTTACCACTGGGAGCAGTAGTTGCAATTCTGTAGCTAATACTTGAATTAATGCATGGCTATATTGCTGTAGAGACATTTTAGTGATACACATCTGTTCTGCTAAATTGCTGTTCTATCCATTGCCCTCCAGCACTTAAGGTGCAGATCCATCCGTCCTTACAAGCCCATCCCTGCTTGCTCCACTCTCCCGTACCCAATCTGTTGGATGTAGATCTGATGGAGGGTCCAGGAGGCTGTCCCAAGGGTTTTCTTTAGCATCTAGTGGTTTTGGTCCACTGTTTTGAACTATCCATTCACCCTCCCTCAGAAGGTTCCTCTCTTTGTTCTTATTTTGTTCTCTGTATGATTTTGTATACCTTATTCCCTGTTTTGTTTCTTTGCCTGAACCTACCTTTTTATCTCTCCTGCACTTTTCTTCCCAGACTCCTTTCAAGTAACCAACTACCCCCTAGTTACTTCTTCCTCCACTGGTTCCAATTCTATTACATCCGTACCTGAAATTCCTATTTCCAAATTTGTTAGGTAGTCAGTTTTAGCCTCATGTCATGATACTTACTGGTACTGCAAGACTGACTGAAGACTGCCTTCTGTCACAGGTTTCCTTTTTGGCCCTACAATTCATTTTAATTGAAATTCAATTACAGTATATCCTGTTTTGCATTCACACTGTGTCTCTGGCCTTGTACAGTTTTTGCCTCTCTCCTGGTTCCCCTCAGAAGCATCAACTAACTTAGAGACCCAGTGTTCCACTGAAGCCTCATGCTCCCAGTTAGCCTATGAAATCTCCTTTTCTCTGGTAAAATTGAGAGTGGGGGAAAGTCCCCTCACAAATACATGAGGCAGTGATAAGTTAATAATCTAGACAGTGAATTAGTGCCTTTAAAAACTAATCTATAATCCATAAAAAAATCATTGAATCAGTTAATTTAAGAGTTATTGCTTAAGGGAGGTAATTTGTATTGCCTACATTCACTTAATGACTCTAAAGGTTTTCTGAGACATAAACACCAAGAGGCATAGCAAAAAAACCAAAAAACAAAAAACAAAAAAACCCACCCCTGTTCTTTCCAATAAAAATCAAGTGTTCATGGTCTGTAGTTGGTCTGTTACATTCTTCCAGAGAAAGAGTACTGAATGCTTTGGGTAGCCTTCTACTAGAGGAAATTCAGTCCATGGTGCATGTGCTAGAAATTATGAAGCTGTTCATGTTGAATCTGAAATTCAACCTTCTTTTTCAACATTTTGAGGTGATATAAAAAGTTTTTAACTGATCCATATTCTGTATGTCTTCCAGACAATTGAAATGTTGAAAATATCACAAAACAAGATGTTTGCGGCTTTGAAGTATCACTCAACAGACTATTTATATGAGGTATGGTTTTTTTGTTTCTCATAATAGTCTGAATGAAATATAGCAGTTACTGATGAAAAGATTGAGTAGACATTAAAGAAGATAGGAAGAACTACTTTCTTTAGAATTCTCTTTCATAGAGTTTGTTGTGCTGCACTTTGTGGGATAACATAATGAAGTGGTTGCAGGTTTTTTAATTAAAATTTTAAGTACAGTTTTGCATACACAGAAAAGCATCAGTTATTTTTAGTGTCTCTTGCATTTACAATTTACTTATTGTGCACTTTCAAGATTTCTGCTTAGAGGTTTCTTTGGAGAATACACTGTGCCTTCTAAAGCATTAATTTAAATTAATTACTTTCTGGATAACTATTGCAACTTTCTAGCTACTTTGCCATGTATTAGAGTAGTGATACACAATGCTGTGTTCCTTAATGATTGTAGGGAAAAGTTTTTGCAATGTCTTAGGTTAAATTCATGGAAAGGAGATTTTTTTCTTTTCCACACCAATGATGAATATTTTGGCTTTACAGATTTTGATCAGGTAAGATCTAGAAGCCTTGTGTGTTTTCCTTCCTGTCTCCATCTATGATGTTGCCAACCTCTTATCCCCGAAGCACCGTGTCATAACTGGGTTTTTACTAACTAAAATTTTCAAAGAAAAGCCACAGACCAAATACAAGGCTTCTCTTGTAGAGAAGCAGAGTGGTGCTTTGCCAGAAGGGGGCATTCGTAGTGTGCGAGCAGAACAATTCAGCAAGACGTGATGCCTTTAGGAGTTCAGGGAGAGTACAAGGACAGACAGAAGTGCTCCTAGCACATAACTGGAGAATAGCAGCCTGGGAAGTGGTCCAGCAATAGTATTTGCAGTTAAACTGCGATCTGTGTTATCAAACATTGCCCACATCCCTTTCCTCAGAGTACGGCAGCTCTCCCGTATAGTGCTGGTGTATGAACCTACTATTTTCTTAGACTGTAGCAACCAGAACTTGTTTTTCTACTGTAATTCCAACAGTATGCAGTCTGTCGTGCAGTGTTTGGGTGTAAATCTTCTCAATGTGGTTCCATTCAGCTTCATCACCAATTATTTCTATATTATCTACAAATAAAAAATAGATGTGTTGGCAAAAACATATTATGGGCTCCATGGAAAAGAGAAGAATTACATGGCTTTTCTTGCCTGAGTTTTGAGGAGGATGGTGCTGATGATCAGGACAACTGGAAACATTTATAAGAGAAATGCAAGGTGACCTGCTGAATGGCTGCTCTGGAACAGTGTAAATCTTGCTCTGTAGTGCTACCAGAAAGGGTTAATGGATATGGTCACATTTAAAGGTATTACAGATCTGACTGTGCAAGGGACATGCTGTGCTCTTCTGGTTCCACTCTTCTGCCTAATTGCTACTCTCTAGAGAAAGATAAGTTGATTTTTCATGTATTGAGTGCACTTGACTAAAGCTTCCAGCTTTTAGAAAACACTGGAATTCAAGGACCTTATATCAAACTGCTTCCTGCACATATCTGACTCAACTGGATGCAGAATTCTGCTCCTAATATACTTGTTATGTGCTTATATCAATTTCAGTTATAGTTTTTCCAGCTTCCCTTTATAAGTATCTTTGAAGGAAGGAGCCTTTTCCGTCATCCTAGATGCAAGAGTTACATATTTCATGCTCCTGAGTGTTGTAGATGTGATTGCAAAATCATCTTGGTAGTGCAAGGTTTTCTAATGTTATAAACGGACAACACATGCACACTGGATAGAAATGGGAAAATGCACATGATATTTTTCAGTTAGAAGAGAAATGTGCAGAGACCTTTCTATTTTCTTCATAAACAGGGGTAAAGATGCACTGATTGAATGCTTCAGCCATTAATTGTGACCTTGAAAAACAGTTTTATGTATTTTAAAATTGCAAGAAAGGTTGTGTCTTATCAGATGTTATAAAGTGAACTAATTCAGCTTAAACTTTACACTTAGAACTATTTAGTTTAAAATATTTTCTAAAATGCACAATTTTCCTGGTTTAAGGCTATTACCTGTGATGATGGCTCAAGGATGTATTTCTTCCATTTCACAAATTTCAGTGACAGAAAACAATTTTTAGGTATTAAGCTAAAGTTAGCCTAAGTAAAACTACATAGTGGTGTTTCAAATTTCTTTCTGATCTGTTTTATTATTGCACATATTTGTTCAGTAGCTTCTACTTCTACGGTAGCATTCTTCTTTAAACTAGGAGTCAGTCCTTTGACAACCTTCATGTGCCAATTCTGACAGCTTCTTTTAATGAAGAGAAGGGTTAGCCTTAGGATTTTCTGTTTCTGGTATCTCTATTAGGAAATTCACTAGCTGCCTTTTATTTTATAAATGCGGTTTATAAAATTTATTTTATAAATGCAGTTTCAGCAGTAACTTCAGTAGAGATTACCTAAACTAATACATGGCCAGTAACAAGACATTGGTCCAGCTGCCCATAGTTGTCTGATTCTGTCTTATTTATTCAGAATTTGTGAAAGAGATCACTAAGGAAATGCCATGCTTTGACTTAGGCAAGAGGGACTACATTGGATCAGACCCATTTTTTCACAAGAGCCTTTTAAGGAAAAGATCCTATGATGGCAACAGTTTTTGCTTTTTTTATTAAAATTAACTAGCATTTACAGAATCGTAACTATCAAACTGAAATGGAAAAAGAATTTGCATTAATGAAGTGACAGTCTTTGCTTTCGTTGCTTCCTATGTGTTTTTATGTTTGTTTGTTGGTGTTGGTTTATTTTGGTGGGGTTTGGTTATTTTGTTGTTCTTGTTTTTTGGTTTTTTTCTTAGATGAGAAGGCTTGAAAATTGCACCAGTAGCATGGTTATTCTGGTTCCAGTCTGAGTCAATGAAATATTCCAAATCTTTCTAGCGGTGTCCAACATTACAAGCTGTATTGGCTTGACAGCATATGTTGGGATGGGTGGGGAGTTCTGGGACCTGAAGGAACATAGCTGAAGTGAGGCAATGAGTTTACAACTAGAGAAAAGTTTCTGGTCTCATTCATTGTGTTATTCCACATGACTGTAGCTAGTTCTCTTCTCCAATATGCCTTTTACTCCACAGACTTTTAAAGAACAACTTCTTTCTTCTTCTTTCTTTAATCTTGTTAAACACAAATGTGTAAGTATAATTTTTCTTTGCTTCCTGAACTCACTGGTTATTGTGTGCTCTTTATACAAAACTGGGCATGGGTTTCAGTGACGAAAGAACTATAACATAGTTTATTAAACTTGGTATTCAGTGAAGTTACTAAGCTCGCCACATAGACTATTTAATTCCAGAGTTCAACTGATTACTACCCTACTTTTGGTGAAAATTAAAGGCTTTAAAAAGGCTTTCATTAGCTCATAATGGCATATGAAACACAAGAGGCCTTAGAATATTAAAAGCACTTGAAGCACCAATAGTAGGAATGATACTAAATTGTTGCTGGTCTTCTTACCCATGTGTCCATTCCGGAGACCATTCCAAGTGTTAAGATAAGCACTTGCAATTGCACATTCAAAGTTTAGGTTAGTAGCTAAATGTATGTGCATACTCAGAGGTGTAGATTAAAAGTTAAATAGCAAATCAGGTAAATGTTAATATCTTCTCTCAGTTTGGACTGTGTTAGCATTACAAAAATAAGGTTTAATTATAAAATATTGTGTTCTAGTAGAAAACCCTTGAAAGCAGTGGGAATGTTGGAAGAAGCAGTACACATAAAGAATGGAACTGTCTCTCTCATGATTTTATCACATGCCTTTTTTTATTCAGAGCATGGCAAGGCAGAAGTTTTCCATCTGGAAATTATCACTTTGCTTTCCTCCCTGTTTGCATCAAGATGAAAAGTATCATCTCAATGGACTCTTTGCTGATGATAAGTATAGGAAGCCATGGACTAGAAGTATGTTATATAATCCTTTAGTTTAGATTTTCTGTAGATTAAAGGAAAAGCTTGTGTTTATCCATAATATGATAAATCTGTTTAAAAAAAAAGTATTTCCAGACACAGCATTATGCCAGTTCTTATTGCTTTTAAAAGTAGAACATCTTCATTGCCCAAATTCAAACAAATGGATATTTGAGTGGCGCAGTAAATGAGATGATATTTCATTAGTTTGTAGAGATCTCCAGGAAGACTTCTTTCTGGAGAAGTGTTTGCAGAAGAAAAACAATGATCAGAGATAAGTAAAACACCAAATCTGATTAGCTGGTAGAGGTTTGGAAGATGATGCTGAGGTTATGAGATGTGGGGAGAACGGAGGTTTTCAAATCACAAAGTAGATACACGTATAAAAGTGTTTGCATCTTACTTGTGCATTTGTATTACCTTTGCTAATGGAAACTAAAGGTGGTGTTTCTTCTAGACATTGTGTGTAAAGTTTGATTAACCTCTGCAATGATTTCATCAATATATTAAAATTAATTTTAATATTTTTTGTGTGACTTTTTTTCTCTCCTTTTTGTCTTAGTTGGTTCAACACAGAACATGATTGCTATTTCAGTATTGGATCAGTGGAAGAAAAGTTTACTTGTGGAGGATTTCCTAGAAAAGTAAGTAACTTTAAATCATTTATGATTTCTTTGATATCATTCAGGTACTTTGTGAATTATAAGCTAATGATGAAAATAGTATATGGAGATGTTTCCTGACAGCAGCAAGTGTGCTGGAGATGTACACACTATCGGATAGCTTAGAGATGCTTTTTTTCACTAAAGATTGTACTGTGGTTTTATGGAGTTCACTGGTTCTTTATATAATTTTTTTAATGGTTGTGTACTCTATTTATGACATTGGAGAAAGTGTCCTACATGACGTGAAAATAAGCTTTTCCCCTCCCCCACCCAAGACAATTATCTTATGTAACTGTACAAGCTATATGACTTGAACATATTTTTCATACTTAGAATAGTCTGCATTAAAATATTTGCCATTTTCTAGTAAAGTCTTAATGGGACTTTGATTTTGGAAGTGGTGGCCTGTGTAGTCTCAAAACAAGCAACTTAGGTTTGTTCTATCTATAAAACTGTAGTGAAACCCAGTGATTTCAGTGAAGTTGGAACTTGGGCAGTGTTTCAAGGTTCATGGATTTTCAAAGGCTTATGTCATGTGAAACTTTGATTACTTTGATTAGTTATTATCTGTACCACATGGTTATTACTTTTGAATTATACTACATGTACTTTCAAAATTAACTTAATAATCAAAATGTTGTAAAATAGTTTATTTTTTTAAGATGTGTAGCAAAGATTCCCTTCTATTGCTGTTTTCACATAAAGTCCTGTACTGAGTTTCAAAGGTACACTTATACACTGAGTGCTTTTATGGGAATTACCTTTAGATGACTAGCAAATAGCAAGATGGTGTAATGCTAAGTATGATTAAAAATATGAATAAATCAGTAGGATGCAAAATTGAGAAATCAGTTGTCTGAAATAAGAGTATTAAGTACAATAACTGTAGATGAGCTGATTTGGGTGCTTCAGAAATGTCAGCACTCGTCATAGTTACTGTATTGTTGCAGTCAATTTATATGAGTAGCACAGCATTAACACATATTTTAATCAACTATTGTAACTGTTTTGTCCAGATGAATGCTTAGCTCGGGAAAATGACGGCCTTTTTTTTCACTTCCCTAGTCAAATGATTTTCCTACTTATTTGGCAAACAGTAGGGAGGTTTTAATAATAAATAATAATAATAATAATAATTATTAATAAATAGTAGTAAATTAATAAATAGTAGTACTGAGGTTAGTATAAAAAGTTACAGGAAACTGAAGTGGTTTTGTTTCTTCAATTACACTCTTTTTCATATTGCTGTTACTTGCAATTTCTTGGTTTTTGAAACAGAAGTGTACATTTAACCCAGCATCAAATTTTTGTCACAAATGTTATGACATCAATATAGTTGATGACCTTTTCTTTGGTGCTGGATGTAAACTTAAAGGACTTTTTCTTGGGGAAGAATTGAACATGGTCAGTGTAGTTTGACCATGGATCCAGTGAATAGAGAGATCTCTGTAATTTCCAACCTTCTTTGGTGAGCACAGTGATTATCAAAGTTCTCAAAGCACATAAGAGCTGTTGATTCACTGATAAGTCAGGGAAGTTAGAACACTGATTTTGCTAAAGCTTAAGTGTCAGATATTTTTGTTTTGTTTTGTTTTTTAGGAAACCTATCTCCTCTGTAGAGTTTCAGGCTAGCAATGATTTAATAGAAGTTATTCCAAGCTCAAATCCTTGCTCTCAGACTGGCACAGAAGAGTGTTTTTTACTTACGAAGAATGGTTTTAAGGGAGACTCCACCCAAGACAAGTATTTGAAGATTTACTATGCCACTGAATTTAAAGAACCACAGCAAGGTAGAACGTTCAATTCACTGTTTTCTAAGTTTTGGTAGAGTAATCTTGTTAACTTCTGTAATTTTTTTGCACATGTTCCAGAGGCATTGATGAAATCATTTGGGTGATCAAAAACTTTGCAGTTGCATAATGTATAACCACTGAAGACAGATTTATTCCCTGGAGAAGCAGGGCTTATGTTAATAATTCAAGAGAGATGCAAGCCAAAAGAGGTTTAAGATAGATTTCTTTATGGAGATCTGTTTGAGTTAGTATCATAAAACAGTTTGGTGGGAACATAATCAGTGTCCATCATTTCCAGGCGTGATGAGAGAACAGAGAATTATTACAGATAGGGAATCATCCAAGGAGTCAAAGGAGGATGTGGGAATGAGGAGACTTCCATATTGGTAAAAAACAAGGAAGAAGAACAAAAAGCTGCCTTTGCCCTTCCATATGTATTATATATGTGTAAAATGTGTAAAATGTAAAATTTCATACCACAAATGTAAGGGAATATGTGAAAAGTTGTTACTGGATCACTCCTGTCTCAGGAGAGCAGTAGTTTAAACGCAAAAGAAATAGAATAATGTGATGGCTTGAGTTGGAAAGAACCTTTTATGGGAATCCAGCTCCACTATAATCAGCTCAGGTCAGTCAGATCCTCAGCCAACTTCACCTTGAATGCCTCCAGGGATAGGGCATCAGTCACCTCCCTTGTTGTAAGAAACTGCTTCCTTACATCTAATTTAAATTATCTCCCTTTCAGTTTAAAACCTGAGACCTAAAAGGTCTATCCCTCCCTTTCTTATAGGCCTCCTTTAAAACCACAGTAAGCTTTTCCTGGAACCATCTCCTCTACAGGCTGAACATACACCAGTTCTCTCAGCGTTTTCTCAAGGAGAGGTGTTGTTTCCACTGATTGTTTTTGTGATCCCTCCTCTGGGCCTGCTCCAAGAGATCCATGTCTTTTTTTCTACTGAAGACCCCAGAGCTGAATGCAGGGTTCCAGGTGGAGCAAAATGCCCTCCCTCCCCTGCTGCCCACACTGCTTTGGATGCAGCCCAGGACACGTTTGGCTCTCTGGGCTGGGAGTGCCCATGGCTGGGTCATGTCCAGCCTCTCACTCACCAGTACCCCCAGTCCTGCTCACAGGGCTGCTATTGATTGTTGATGACTGTGTTGATATGATAATGTCATCTTTCTTGAAATCATAGTAATTTGCAACCTTTTTTGTAATTTTTTTCTTCTTCAGAATTAGGAAATCTGCATTTAAGTTTAGACATGTATGGAGAGAGTGCCTCATTTCTACATTTAAAATTGCACTGAGCTAAGTTTCTTGGCCAGAACCCACCCCAGAAGTTCCTTTATCATACTTGAAAGTACAAACAAAGAAACAAAAAGAAAATACCTTTTGTTTTAACAGGTATTTTGTAAGACAAAAGAAAACGCTGAAAAAAACTAGACGTTATCATATTAACCATGGAAGTCGAGACTTTGTTGCACTTTAAATGTTTTAGGATTTTTCAGCTTAAAGTAAAAAGCGTTGTTGTTTTTCTGACATTCATAGTATTCCAACAGTTGCTCAACAATTCTCTTTATTCTGATAATTCTTAGTATTTTTATCTTGTTTTATAATGTGTTTTTTTCTTCTGTTTTGACAGATTTATGTTTGGAAGAAGAGTTTGTTTTTATTGATAATCTGGAAAATTTTCGTAGAAAACTGCCAACATTATCTATACTTCTCAGCAGACTACAGTTTTTTTTAGTGAAAGATCCCCTTTTAGATTCTAAAGGACAGATTTTAAGAGCAGACGATATTTTCAGGTACCTATAAATTACTGTGTAATATTAAAGATAAAAAATTGTGTATAATGCCATTAACATTTTGATGTTTGTTGTATATACCTTTTTAACTATCTTATATTTGTAACAGGTAAAGGCTTCAGCTTTTCATATTAGGAAAAAATGAGGAGGGAGAAATTCATATGCATTAAGAAAACTGAATTAATGAAATTGTGTCATTTCTACATTCTATAGGTGTGAAATGCAATCAGGATATTCATTTTGAAGTACTAAAAAAATGTACATCTTTAAGGGACCTTGTCCTTCCTCAAACTGACTGATTCCCTTTCATGAAAATATCACTATATTTAGTAGGACTAGGAAAAAAAAAAAAAAGAAACATTGCAGCATGTAAAATGACATGCTGCATTGTTTCTTTACATGCTGCACATGCTGCAATGTTTCTTTTTTCTCTCCTCTCAGATGTGTGACCAGTAAATCTATGCTCCTACTCTGTTGAATTGTATTTCTTCAAGTTTAAATATAAATTATTCTTACAGTTTTGCTCAGTTTTGTATTGCTAGGTTGATTGAATTTAATTGAATGATATCTATGTAAAGAATGTAAACAAACCAGTACATTAAAACATGTATGCTGTATCAAAAATGGGCCTAGTATTTTGTTAATACACTCATTGTGTGCATACCTTCATAGTCTGGCTAAATCTTGTGCTGATTTACTTCATGTCTGGACTACTGTATTGTTTCTTTTGCACTTGGAAAGGTTGCATGACTGACAGGAAAGATAAAGCAGATTTTAACTGAACCAACTGTACCCATATAGTAGAACAAGGAGGAATGGCGTTTGCCTGATTTTCAGACATGAGCCCTAGTCTCACAGTGACTCTCGGATGTAACACTGTGAATACTGTAAATAACCAGTGAAGATAACATGATTCAAATTCTATGACTTTCAGAAATACCAGCAATGGGAGGAAAAAATGCTAGTGTGAAGCTTTACAGAAATAGCTCTGATCTCCTGATCTGTGGTTGACTAGCAAAACCGCAGACCTGTCCAAGGTGGGAATCCAGATCTCATAGTGCAGCACACAGGGAGATGCATTTAGAGAAAGTGACTTGATTAGACAGACTTCAACTTCAGTTAATATTCATGAGCATCTCAAGGCTGGACACAGAACAATTTGTACTCTGTGGTGTAAAATATTCCTCCAGAAAATAGGTGTGGACTGATGAGGAAGTTGCTCCCGTAAAAAGTCACTATAGATTTAGTGTGTGTAACTGGCACAAAGGGCAAGCCTGATGAAGCGTTTTCTTTCTGCCTGACAAATCATCCCTGTGCTGCTTGTGTCCTTGCTTTTCAATGCAAGTAGTAGCTTCATTCCTGACATTCACTTCCAAGTTTTTCAGTTAAACCAGAAACATACTCTTAGTTTTCACTTTAACTATTAATAAGCATACTCTGCCTTCTTTCATGCTGAATCTTTCTTGAAAATAGAAACGAAAGGTGGCAAAATAGAAATAAGGCTAACAGATTAGAGATTTAATGTATCATAAAAAAAATTGACATTGGAAGAAATTAGATCTGCAACTTTTGCAGGAAGCACTTGGGGACAAGTACAAGTACATGAGGGGACTTATGTACTGGGATGTTGAAGAATTATAATATGAAGGTTTTTGCTATAACTGTTTAAGGTAGGCCCCAATATTAAGCAGTTCTTCTCTGCATATAATGTATTATTTCTTGAAAAATTTTCTTGATTAATTACACAGATCAGTACAACATCACTTGGAATTGCCTTCTTAGAAAAGGCATGGATTTAGAAAAACTTTTGGCATGTATATGGCTATCAAAAGTATTGCTAAGAATTTCTTAGACATTAAGTAATACAAATAAGTCACTTATTTTGTTTTATGATCTTTTAAAGGGAATGTTTGACTTTCCAAAATGACATTAAGATGGAAGAGAGTCAAAATGAATTGCAGGGGATTAAGGAGAATTTCTGTACTGTATCTATAAAAGATGAAGAGGTATCATTTTATTGTTTCATATTATATATTGCCTTAGTGGTTGTTCTACATAATGGATATATATTTGTTCACATGCACGTCATCTTACTGAGTTCTTTTTATATTTGCCAAATATTTCAAGCTTTCATGTTTCAAAGATTAAAAAACACTGGTATTATTTGTGGGTTTTTTTATTCTTGGATGCTGATTTTAGGAGTTTCCACTCTGACCAACTATTTCTCCTGACACCTGATGTGTTTGCAGTTTTATGTAGATATTTGTTACACTAAGAATAAAAATTAAAGAACAGGAAGCCATAACATGAGCATGGGAAAGGGAAAGCTACAAGACACATTCTAGAATCTGGGGGAGCAGCTTGGCTTTTTTTTTTAGAGAAGTCAAATCTACTTTTTTCTCCATTTTTCAAAATTGTAAAAAACAAACTTTCAGTAAAATAAATTAAAATTGTACTTGGTCAGGAATTCTAAGACACATTTGTTACACGCCACTGACTCAGAAAGTTGTGTAACATTGTATTTTACTCTGTATTGAGCAAAGCTTTCTATGTGCTGTGTAAAAGTCAAGTGATTTCTCTCGTAAGAGCTCTTAAATTAGTTTAGATTTAAGTTATTTCAAGATTTTGAAGAAGCTTTGACTGTACAGTAATATCAAAGGAAAATTACTGCCCATTCTGGTGTGATTAATATTTTTTCAGTATTTCCTGTTACCTGCTGAATTAGAATTTGGCAAACCCAGCAATGGCAGATCTGATTGTGTTAAGATTCCATCATACTTGCAACTGAAAGAGGTGTTAAACGTAACTCCAGTCACTGTAGATGATGAAGACCTTTGCAAACAGGTGATCAGAGAAGGTGAGAGCTGGCTTTCTTAAGTGCTTGACCAGATTTTCCTTTCATTTGAATGCATTTAACACAGTCAAGCTCTTTTATACTGAGTTCACTTAAAAATTACGTCACAGCTTATCAGATGAGAATTTCTGTGGATGAACTAGGACCTATGTTACACCCAGATTTCTGGCATTAGAAATGTCTCCTTAAGGGGTAGTAAACTGCTTGCCATTTGACTTAGTCCATGTAATATGAGCCATGACTTGTGATATATAATCAACTGTAGCTATTATAATTTGGTCTTTTGTTCTTCAATATGTTTTTAAGTTTACTTTCAGAGACATCCCTAAGAGGATTATATGCAGAACAGTCAAAAACAAAAAATGTTTTTGTTGCATTGTAATTGCAAACACAAAAACAGATTTCTGGGGGAAAATGGTTAAATATTTCCATGGATAACAGGATTATTCTCAATGACAGTAATAGTTTCCTTAAAGGAATTTTAGAAGAATTACTAAATGCTTTTAGACTACTGATAAATATAACTTTAATGACAGTTATTGGCTGGTTGATGGGAATCCATTATTAATGGATTGATTTGTATGACAGTATTTGTTTAGTTAAAAGGCATTCCCTGAGGGCTGGTTTGTTGTTGTTTGTTTTTTTAAGTCAAAATAAATAATTTTCCAATTTTTGGTGGACAGGAGGCTGTTCAAAGAAGGGAAATTAATGCTTCTGAAGATGGAGCACGTTTGCTGAATTCTGTGTCTGATAGGGCAGCAGTTTGAAGTAATCCAGCCTCTTATTGAAGATAGAAACAAAACTTTTAAAAGTGGATATTTGACTAAGACAGTTTCATGTACATTCCCCTGATACATTTAGTATGTGCCATGTTTCAACCTGAGATTGCAGAGATATGAGGATTCCATATATAAATGTCAACCTAGTGGGGGGGGTCTTTTTGTTCTGTTTTAGTCCTGTTTTAGTAGCAAAAGAATCCACATACACATACTCCCAGTAAACTATATTTAGGCTACTTAGTTGTTCTGGAAATTGTGGGTGGAGATTTTTTCTGTCGCGTAGGGGACAAGACTGAATACAGCTCTAATCAGCTAAAGCTTCTGGGGTTACTAACCATGACTAATTTTTCATAGCAGTATATCATGGAGGTTCAATAAAAATACTGAAAGCTCTGGCAGGAAAAATTAATAAATGGTTCATTTATGGCACCTTTTAAAATCTGTTTTCAGATCTCAAAGCAGCAATTACATACAAAATAGAAATTTCCAAGTACTGTGCCATTCCACAAGAGGTTTGCTCCAGTATTAGCACAAGTATGTTGGAATTCTGTGAGTCAGGTAGGAAGATCTGTATAAATCAAGATATAAAAATCAAAAATAAATTCTTCAAGTAGTTTTTCTAATACTCTGTTCATGGGAGAACATGTACCACATAGATAAGAAGATTCACTTTGTGTAGTCTGTTATTTTGTACCTGTACCATAAGGAGGGAGAAGTGCTGTACTCCTCTCTAGAGCTTTATAGTCTAAACACAAGCAAGTTTACAATTCTTTAATGTTGTTTTTGGCTGTAAGTTATGTCTATGACTTTTGCACTTCATTAAATTTTTAGCTCTTTTTTTATCTAACAGCTCATCCACCAAGAGAGGGCAGATGAAAGTTAGGGCACATTGATTAAAATTGTGGAGTCAAAGGACACAGTTTAAAGTTTGTTAAAGTCTTATATAAATGCTCTCAGAAGAGGGTGGTGGAGAGCAATTCAGGTAGAAGTGCTGTGTTTGTAAGTTCTAGAGGTTCAAAACTAGAGGTGCAGACATTCTGTTTTGTGAGTGGTTCAGTAATTACATGCGATTGAGAAGTTAAGCCAGAGCTGTTTTCTACAGAAATAAACTCAAACTGTTGAGTATTTGCTAATGTGCATTGAATCCTTGCTTCTCCTGCACTGAAATCAGGAAATAGACTCTGTGTGTCCAATTTTAATAGCTTGAAAATCCAAGTCATTGTGTTTACACCATTGACCAATACTGAGCAGCTTTGCTCAATCTTGTTGTCCAGTCTTAGCTGAAAATTTTTCAGGTTCCTGGTGTAACCTTTCAAAATAATGTATTTCTTTGCCAGCCCTACTATTTTCACAGCTAAATTCTGCTGACTAAGTGAGGCAGAAAAATGGCTGTGCTTGTAACATTTTTCACCTTCCATTTAATGCAGAAAGGCCTGCACAAGGAGTAGCATTTACAAATTAATGTGATCTGAGCAGAGTGTCAATGCATGATTGATTATACATGTATGTCTTATCCTAATTCATATACTATCTGTGAAAAGATCTATCCATTGTTGCATTGGACAGTAGCAGTATTATCCATCAGTGCTTGTTCACTTGATAGTTTTCCATCCAGAAGTTACTAAAATTCTTGAGAAAGGTTGAGTTCTTTCCAGACCAAGACCCTTCTTATTATCTTAGTTTCAAGAAGTTTAAGCTGAGCTGATAGTTGTCCCCTGCAGGCCAATATTACTAATAGTATTATGCTTCCAATACTATATTGTAGTGGAATTTTGATTTGAACAATCATATAGTTTGGAAGTATCTGAAATAAAAGCTCAATGCAAACACACCAAATTCCACCAACATAAAGTTAAGATTATTTTACATCTGGAGATTGTTGTCTAGCATGATAAACTGTAATTTGTGTCTAGTCAGCAGACTGCTCTTCATTTCTAAGCTTACAAGCAGGAGGGGCTTAAGTGCAGTAGATCAGACTCTTCCCTTGTATATAGTAATAATAAATTGACTGTGATCTTCTCTAGGCTATTGTCCATTCTGCAGTAGATGAGTAGTCAAGACCTCTTGAATTGTCCTTTAAAGAAAGTGGCTGCATTAATCTTTGTTACTAATTGCTCTCTTAGCTCTGCTGTTGAATCAGGCAGAATTATATTGTTGGGGCATAATCAGCTTTGATCTCTCTCCTCTTCTTTTTTTTTTTTTTTTTTGTTTTTCCCCAGGATAGACTCAGGTCTGTAGGGTAAAGACCTACAAGTGTGTGGAAACACTGCTAGAATACCATTTGGTAGTAGAAGTTTCTGTATTGGGTGTTGGGTTTCAGCTGAGACACATGACAATCTTCTCCTTCTAATTAATTTTGCTCTTTATGAGTTACCAGAAGTGAAATATGTTTGCTTGAATTCAGAGAAGAAGCAATCATAAGACTAAGCAGTCTTTCTCTTGTCATTGAGTTTGTTTACAAAAGGCATTAGGAAATAAGTTAGTTCTCTGAGTCAGCAATGTTCCAAGAAGGGGAATGTTACTCTGAGTGTAAGCAGAGTTTAACTAACGTGGCTGATAACAAACTTCCACTCTCAAAGGCAAAAATAACTGGACAAGAACAAATATGAATAGTATTGCTCAAAGAGAAAGAATAATTATTTTTAGATGTGGCAGGTATTTTTGCTGTCCTGAGATCAGCTTCTGTCCTGTTCAAAGTAAAGTCTTAAAATTGTCCTCTTCACGAAAACTGGTTTGAGAGCTGAAGTTCACAGTGTATGTTCATTGAACCTTTTTTGTTCGAAGTAAGAGGGAAAGAAGTTATGCTGACTGGAAGTATGTTGCTTTCTTTTGTACCCACTTTTATTTCTTACCTTTTTTTCCTGCTTTTCTGGTATGGTTGTGTCTGCTGGCTTTATATCACTGTCCTTTATCCTTCCTGCCTAACAATTGTCTTGTTGGGTCCTTCAAGGAGAAGCTGTGAGCAGCTGGGCAGGTGACTGATTCATAGCCTGCTTTGTGCCAATTGGCCAGGCAATGTGGGTATGATGATTGCATCTACTTACTGCCTGGTGGAATGAATAGGGAATTCATTATAAGTGTTTTTTCCTTGTGGAGACACTGATTTATTCACAATTTTTCTGCTTTAGTTATCACAGAACATGGAACAACTGTGGGTTTTGTGATTTCTATTTTCCAGTTAGTAGAATGCCAGAGAGATTAATGCCAGGGCAGTCATGTGAACCACCGAAATCAATGAAGTTGCAAATTTGTAGTAAGATTTGAAAAAACCCAATAAGTATTAATATGTCCACATTTAATAGGATTGGGAGGGAAAAAAAAAATGTTTGAAGTTACTTGTAGAGGACTTTTATCATGCCAAGTTTGTTTGTATAATGCTTAAAAAAAACCACTTGCTGTTGTTATTTCAGTGTAAATTCAGTGACCATCCCTAGAAATTTCATTGAGTACTAATTCTGCTTGAAAGAGTAATTTTCCCATTAAAATCCTGACTGTTCTTCAAGTTCCTGAGGCTGTTCTTACAGCTGCCACAATATTGCATGTAGTCTCTCTCCCACTTAATTTACTTCATTTATGGAGGAACTATCTAAGACTAACTGGCATAAATATCAAAATCTCAGCCATAGTACCTGATGATTTAATTATAAAAATAATCTTATGCACAAAGTGTATGTACCCACAACTACATCAAATGAATGGGATCTACAATTGTTTCCCCAAACTGTTTGGAAATTAGGTGTAAAATATTTGGGGTATATAGCTTACTGAATTGTGCCATGAAAATATTTTCGATTTTAATCCAAAACTTCACTAGTGTAAGATTTGTAAGCATGTGTATTTTGTTCAAAAGTAGCTTTGTGATTTTGATTTTTATTTTTGTTTTGGCTGGGGCTTTATGCAATTTCCAGCTGAATATATTCCATATTTGAAAGATGAAATGGAAATGCCTTTAACTCCTCCATGCAGACAACAAAGATCATGGGTTAATTTTCTGTGCAGAGGACTTCAAGAAGAACCTATTTCTCTCTCTGGTAACAGGTAATGAGACCTTGGTAGTGTCAAATTCTGTCCTAAATCCTCAAAATAATTGAAAAAATAACTTCAGTGCATTTATGAATTAGTACTTAGATTCTTTGAGCTGCATATATATTGTGTTTTGTGTGAAAGAGTGACAGTATGCACGGTCCATATGTGTGGTTTTCTAGAGGAGCCTGAAAAAGGAAAGGGAAATTGCTTCTATAGACCTTTTTCTCTTCTAGCCTGAAAATCCAGTCTCCTTTTTGCACTAAGCAACAGTAAATATTTAAAGCATTTAGCAAGCAAGTGTATAGGCATATGCATATTTATACCTATGGCAAGTACATATGGTGCACATGTATCACTTAGTATATCCAGAAGAGATATACTAAGAAAGTATTGTCTGTTTTGGGGATATCCTCCAACAATGGATTTCAGGCTTTTTTATGCCAGCATAGGATTAGAATTGCTCCATCTTTTCCTTCTCATTTTATTTGAGACTAGCATTTCATGCCTTGCTATCTTTCAAACATATTCAGGAAGAATTTCAATCTCCCTTTGGGATAGGAGCCATGATTTAGACAGAATTCTCATTCAGTGCTGCTCTACTTCATGATCCAACCTTCATGGCTTCTCCTCTCACTCTTTCCTATTGTCCTTTGTAAGGATAGGAAAAAATGAATGAGTGAATGAATGAATGAATGAATGAACTGAAAATTTAAAGACAGAATATGTTTAAAAGGTAGTTTTATATAAATCAAAATTCAACAGATAATGCTGCTAAAAGTCATACTGCAAGTTGTTTTATTTATGTTCTTCGTAGTATTTTGATTGCAGAGCCCTCTAGGGAATTCTTAGAATCTTTGGTTTGGCAATCAGAGAAGTATCGGGATAATATGAGCTCTCTTTTGCTTGTCGGTAAGGATTTCTAATTGATGATCAATTTCTAACTGATGCTTACAAGTTCCATGTACACGGAGAAATATAGCAGAAAAGATAATGTTATATTACAGAGCACATATATTGAGCCATTGAGGTTTATCCAGTTACTGTAACCCTGTGAAGTTTGGATTATGTGATTATTTTAGTACATATAAAAAGTAACAGTGTGGCAACATAGAAGTTGGTATGCCATGTATCCTTCTATGGAGGTAATTTGAATTAAGAAAGAGTTTGGGTTTTTTTATGACAGTGTTCACTACTATTCACTATACAATAACTAAAACCTTAAATTTGGTAATCTGTTTAACTCTTTCCTTTGTGCTATTTTCCCTTAAATAATGTTTCAAAATATGTAGCAACCAATATAATAGTACTGTTGATGGAAAATAATATTGTAACTTCACAAGAATTGAAGAGAAGCAGAATACACAAAACCAAAACAAGCTGCAGGCTATTCATGAAAATGCCAGAATATATATTACCACTGTTCTTTCTTTTCACTTTATTTGCCGCCATTTTACAAGTCTCAGGATTAAGTTATGTATATTGGCGTGTTTTGTTGTCCAATTCATTTGTACATTAATTTACAGTTGAAAATAATATGTGGTATGCTCATTAGTGTTGCAGTTAATTTTTTTTCAGGTAAGGATTATGATAAGTCTTTGTAACCATGACAATAACCCACAGATAATTAACAAGATAATTTGTAACTTTAGTAATTTAACACCTACACATTATTAGTTCTGAAAAAAAATTGAAACTCTCACTCCTCTTACAGAACTCAGAAAAGCACACTTGCTCTGATAATGTTAACTGCTTTGGTCTTGAATCTATTGATGGACACAGAGTTACAAATGGAAGAATGAATAATAGATATATGTAATAGGCCAGCAGTACTTTGGAGCTTTCATTTCCAAAATGACATTCTGTTTTCTTCTTTCTAGTCTATCGATAGTATATGTTAATTTCTGGTTCTTTTGTAGAGCATCCAGATGTTAACCTTGAACATCAGCATCATTCACTGACTGAACTACAGAAAAAGCTGCCAGTTGAGATAGAAGCACCAATGCTTGGATCACTAGAGGTGGGCTGGTGGCTTCATACAGGTTTAAGTCTAGCAGCTGTAGAAATTTTGGAACAATTGAATATGGATGGAAGTAATGCAAACAGTCTGCTTCCTACAGAAATAGAAACATTCACAAAATTTACATCGTATCAATTGGAAAGTAAGTATCTTTTTTTTAAAAGAAGTTATATAAAGGCAAAGATAGGTACATTAACAGCGAGTCACACAGGGAGTTACACAGCTTCAAGAACAAAGGAAATTAATTATTTCTTACTCTTAAGAACAAAATGCTTTACTTCAAAATGAAGGAAGGGCACTAATGCAATTAAGGTGTACTTCACTAACTTAGAACAAATTGTAGAAATGAAAGTATTGAACTACACAAAGTCATCATTTCTATTAGTGTGAAGATGAAGAATAGCATCCACCAGTCATTTTTTAATAAAATAGTTTCATATAGGAGAATTTCTTAAGAAGTAGCAGTTTTGCTTTGGAATATTTTAATAAAGCAGATATTCGCATATTCCTGCCTGCACAAGGTGAATGGGGTGAGTATGTTACAGTGAAAATTCCTTATTTTGTGATGGTAGAGGGTGTTTTTTAATGCAGACTATTTCAAATTTGAACAGCTCATCACTTCAGAATTTCTCATGGCCATTTTTGCATACTTATAATCAAACTCCAACAAAAAATGCATGAAGTTATTCAGATTTTGTTGCATAACTATGGCCAGACTGCAAGGCACCAGCTGTGGTTGTAGAATGCCAAGGATTGGCAGTAACGTGATATATTGTGAAACACATAGATACTGCTCATGCAAGAACATTTCCAATTAACTGCCTTTTTCATTTCTTTAATTGTTTAGCTACTGTGTTTCAAACGGATGTGTTTCAAATTGCAGCCACAATGCAAATAAGTTGTAGTTCTACCGAAGCATATCTTCAAGGCAACTGTTTGCATTCTTCATTTTTCCCTCTAAAAAATAAAAAAAATACCAGTTTTTGTTCTGAATTAAATGTGTTGTATCCCACTTCCTAGAACTCTAACATCAATAAATCCCACATAGATGGGATTGTTTGAAAAATTCAAATAGCATGGCCTTCTGTGTCTTAATATTGTGTATTTTTACTTAGGATTAGTCAGTGCAAGTTTTCTGTAAAGGGATCCTAGTGATCTGAGAAGGCAGAAAGAAGTTTTTAAAAATGCCTTCTCTGTCAACCATCCAGAGTCCTCAGCTCCAGTGAGGAGGGAGAAAAGAAAAACATTTATGTCAGTGCAAAGAAATTGAATTGTATTTTTCAGGATGGCTTGAAGAGAAGAATTCTGTTACGAACCAAGAGCTGCTGTCTGCTGAAAGACATCAGTCAGAGAAAGTAGTTAACCCTGACCTGTCACTGCAGATTCAAAGGCAGTACTTTGCCACAAGTGCTGCATCATCTGCCAACATTCACAGTACAAATACATCTGTGGAAGACCTTACTGGAGGAAGCATAAGAAAGATTAAGACAGAAGAGGCAATTTGTTTCTTAAACCAAGAAAAGAAAATCCCCAAACCATCTGAATCACAGAGCTGTAAAGATGTGTCTTCCAAACTAGACAAATCATCCTGTAGTGGAAAGCCTGCATCACTTGCACTTGCTTCTAAATGGGCCAACGATGATTCTGATTTGAACAACTTTATTATGATGAGATCTAAGCATATAGTCACCCAAAGAGAAGAAAAACATTATGTAGATAGACCTGAAAATGGTATGTGAACCAATTTATTCTGCAATTTTTCCAGATTTAATTCTTCTCTATTTCACTAGTTACCATAGGTGCTAATTCATCCTAGTCAGTTATTTGAAGCAAATTGGCACAATTTTCATGGTCTTAAATGCAGATGAATTTTTAGCTAAGTATCTTACTTTTTGTTGTTTTCCTTAAGATATATTTTTTATATGGTATACTTGGCATAGGGGAGTGCTCTTTTTTTGGGACAGGATTTTTTTTTGTGTTAGAAGTGGTACTTCATAAAATAAATATTTGAGTTTATTCCGATTCTGACAAAGTAGCTCTAAATGGTACTTACTTCAGGAGATCTCTTCCATCCATATGTTCTGCATCAGGTCTCATGGCCACTTTGGAGAAGCAGTAATCCTTAAATTCATTGTAGTATCAAACAGCAAATATCAGTACTCTCACTTCTGTAGCCTAGAAAATGAATAGGAGTTGTTAATTTTCTGAAATGAACAGCTGGTTCATTTGAGCCAGCTACCTTGGTGCAAACCCCATCAAATCATCAAATAATGCAGAACAGGTATTAGGGAAAACAGAAAATTGTTTGTAGGCCTGTTCTCATTGATGGCACTACATGGGAACTAGCTGAACTTTGTGTTCAGCATTGAAGAAATGCAAAATAGGTGAGAGAAAAAAAAAGTGGAAGTATTTTGTTTGTTTTTAAAAAGAAGTATCTGTGACATAAAGTAGCAGGTGACAGCGGCATACCTCCAAATTCACTTTCCAGGATAAAATTATATGAAAAAAAATTGAAAGAATTTTTTTTACTTGTATGGCAGAATTTTGACAATAACTTTTATCTGTGCTTTAGTTAAATGTCCCAGCATTATTTAAAAAAACCAAAACAAAACAAAACTAAAAACCAAAAGCAAAACCACAAAGAAAAAAACGCCAAAACCCCAGTTGTTACTGGGGTTTAATTTAAAAGCTTCAGCAATAATTCCTGTAGAATTGGGATATTTGTTTAATTGTAATCTTATTAAATCTTATGGATGTAATTATTTCTTGGTAAAATTCACGTGTTTCTGGCACCGTCAGAGATGCATGAAACTTTTCATGGCGTCAGAAAGCAATAACCCAAATTTTATGAGAGACCGAGGTACCTGAAGTTTTATGCTGCCATCTAGTGAGCCTTGACCAGAACTGCGTCGCCTGACAAGGATGAGGTATCCCATTCACCAATAGACTTGAGGAGTTTTAAGAAGATTCAGTGCAGATTAGGATGTGTACACGTAGACCCCAGTGTTGCAGATCCATTACGCCTGATATTTAGAGAACCCATTAAAATACAGGGGTCTGTGGTAAGCCACATCGATGTAGAAATTATATAAATCACTGAATCCTTTTGCAATAAAGAAAAGTTTTTGTCAAGGGTCACAGTACTGAAAGCTAGAAGGGCCAGCAGTGGTTGTAGACCTCTTCATTGTTTGATTCATTTTTTTTAAATATTGTGTGTAATGTTTAGAAAATATACAGGAGGGAAGTAGTAGAAACAATTCAATGATCCAATTTTAAACCCCAGATATCTTTTCAAAATAAGGCAAGTAATCTGAGTTAACTAAAATAAAAATTCAGTTTTTCTTTTCCTTCTGTCTCTGTATTATTATCTTGTTTTCTGAGGAAAGTGGCATTCTTAAGTAGAAAAATCAGTAATATTTAGAAGAATATTCTTATTCAATAAGAACCCCTTTCACAGAAAAATAATCAGAAATAAAGGTAAGAAGTTTTGTGGCTAGAAGTTGTAGCTCTTGCATCAGTAGGTATCAGGAAGAAGGGAAGGCCACATAGAAGTATTAACAAGTCTCAAAAGATATCTAGAAGACAGAAGAAAAAATATTTTCAATATGCATTTTTTTCTCTTTTTCCATTTGCAGCTTTTATGTTCTTTCTGCATGGTTTAAAGAGTCTAACCTTTTCTACTCACACTCCATGTTGTATTTTTCATAATTTGAACTCTTTGTGGTCAGCAGCATCTTTCTGTCATGAATGTTTTTTTTCTCCATATAAAGTCATATGAGATTTCCTGTGGAGCTGTATTATAGAGCAGTAGTACCAGCTCCTTAACTCTCCCAGCTCTGTATTTCTGCCCTTAGGAAGAGCAATATAATAATGCCTGACTTCTTGGGCTGTGAAGGCAGACAAGGCCTAATCTGGTTTTGTGCCTTGTGGGTTTTTGTACTGTAAAAGCCCATGAAAACAATAAAGAAATCATGAAGAGAAAATGTATGTATCACAGAAACAACTTAATTTGAAAGTATTTTTGCATTAGAGTAATTTATAGAACAGTTTTATTATTCATTGAGCTGGTTTTGTGATATTTATAGCTAAATATTCACTTGTGTTTCGATTATTTAGTGGTACAGCCTGAAGAGCAGCATATGTGTGTTCACAAAGATGATGATTCTGTTTGTGAGACTGTAAAAATAGAGGAAAGAACTCCAGAGAATGAAGACAGTATCACTGTCAATATTCAACCATCAGGTATACACTATTTTTGGGACTGCTTTACCTTCTCCCAGGTAACAAGTGACAGGACCAGAGGAAATGGCATCAAGCTGCACCAGATGAGGTTTAGATTGGATATTGGGAAAAACTTCTTCATTGGAAGGGTGGTCAGGAACTGGCTTCCCAAGGTAGTGGTGGACTCACCATCCCTGGAAGTGTTAAAAAAACCTGAGCATGTGGCATTTGGGGCCATGGTGGTGCTGGGTTAACTGTTGGATTCAATGATCTTAGTGATTCTGTGCTTCTACATAATTTTGCTATAGAATTTTGTATTAAATAATTTTACTCAAACAAATACAGAAATTATTAGACTTAGTCTCTTCTCTTTGTGGCTGAAAGTATTGCAAGTAACAGAAGCAAGACAGATATTTATTTTGGCAAAGAGGTGAGAGCAGACTATGTGGCTCCATCTTAAGACTAAAGCAAATTGCATGCAAGGTGAAAAGAGTAACTTGGACTTTGAGTTATGTCTGATCAAAATTAGCAGGCACGAAATCTCTTAATGCCACTCAGTACCTTCTGTTTATTGTTCTGCACATTTCTGTCTGAGTAAATGAGAAATGGAGATGAAAGAGATCAGCAGTCATTTTGATAGGAAAGATCTTTAACATAGTAGAAATAAACTATGGGTTTATGTCATACATGACTGGGCCTTACCCCTTGAACTCCAGCTGTTGTAAGATGAATTGTATCAAAGAACATAATGGACAACACTTTTCTCATGCAGTAGAAATGGTAGAGAACCTAGAAGATATTTATCCAAGCTATTATAAAGCCTCAAATTAAAAATACCCAGCCCTAGGAAATTGCAGGCTTAGCACAGATTAGTTGTTTTTCCATGGAAATGCATTCATTCCAACCCATGTGGTGCTTAACAAGATTTTCTTTTGCAGAACCAGTGGAAGAGAAGTCTTCTCATCTGTTCCTGAGATGGGAATCATAGTTTTAAGCTTATATTTAAATTACTTTTTTCTAATTAATTTTGAAGCAAAATTCCTTTAATGCAATTGGGGAGAAATATTAAAGCATTCCTGCAGTCAAGACAAAAATAATTAGCATTTTTCAAATTAGCATTTTGAAATTGACTATGATGTAGAAACAGGCTACTATAGAACAATTGAATAGTAGAACAATCTTAGTGTGAGTCACAGGAATAGAAAATCCTAACTTCTCCTCATGGAGTTTCATATATTATGAAATGCATGGAACAATGTGGTTACCTGATGTGAAGATCAGCTGATTGCTACCACTCAGGAGGCTCTGTAGCAAATAACTTTTTTCCATTAATGCTGCAGCTTTCATGAACAAGATAAAGTTGTTAATGTTTTGGTAGGTCTTTTGAATATTCGTGTCCAGTTGTGGTGTGTGAAACCAACTTCATTAGTATGTTTTGTTCATTGTGTTTTCTAGAAAGCCAATTCCAGGCATTTTGCCTCTTGGAAGAAGCAGCCATCCCTGTACTAAAGGATTTGACACATCTGGGTGTACTTGCTTCTGTTACTTGGAGCTTTGACAGTGTTAAATTTGATCATACAAGGTTTTTCTTAAAACAGCAAGAGAAAGTGATATGTGATAATTTTCAACAAGGTATGTCTTTTAAACAACATCTGTTTTTTTCTTTAAAACTAATACAGATTCAATTGGTGACAGAAGGTTCAAGATGTTTTATAAATTATAATTTATAAATAAATTAATGATCAGTCTTTTAACATTATATCTTATAGTGTTACAACTGACTTCCTCTTATTCCAAAAATGTCTCCTTGTTGTTCAATGTTACGTTTATTAAGCTCAATATTGCATTACAAAAGTAGTCTAATTGGATTTAAATTTAAAAGATTTTACATATGCTTCAGAAATATTGTTTCTGTAGCAAACAATGTTTAATCTTTTCTCATGCCAGATTTTAAAATTAAAAGCTGTTTGTGTGGGGTTTTTTTTCTTTTCTTTTAGTAGCTATATTTTGTCACACCTGCATGATGCCAAATACTATGCCTTTATTAGAAATTAGGAGCAATAAGAATCCATAATAATTTGGTTTCTTTCTGACTTCATTTCTCTCTTATGTCGAGAGCTCTATAAAACCAGAAAAACAAGAAGGAAAGTCATCAAAATTAGTGACCTCTTACAAAGATTTTTGACTGTAAAGAGAGAGTCAGGAAAACTTCATAACAAAATAGAGGCTCGTTTGAGGAACGTTTAGAAAGCCACTTGGTATTTTGTGTTATTTTTTGAGTTGTACAGCTCATAGTAGGCTGCTTACTACCTGCCAAGTTTCTGTCTATATTATGTCACAAATTATGCAATAAGCTCTTGTTGTCACAATTTCATCACTTTCTGTGCTGCATGTTCTCAATGAAAACATTAATGACCATGAAACCACAAATGAGAAAGAAGGCAAACAAAAAGAAACTGTAGTTGGCCCTGCAGAATGACAGCCTGTGATCTATAGAATTACCATATTAAAATGTCAGCAGAAGCCCTCTCTTAATGTGAGGGAGCTTACAAAAAAGCAAACACTGTCTTCACAAACATCAGGGACAAATATGGTATCTATATCTGTATCAGCGAATCAAGAAAGGAAAACATTAGTGAGAAAAGTATATAGAGAATTTCTACTGCTTCTCTGAATCAAGGAAAAAAATATGTAAGAGTCTGCATTTCAATTAAAGATTCATATAAGAAAATTTACATCCTCTCAAATGCATGTACATGCTATGGAAATTGCATTTTTCCCCAACTAAAGCAACAGAAGGAAGTAAGTCTATTTCTTGCTGAAAGGTCTTCAGAAACAAGAGAGAAAATATCCATTTCATTCCTAATGACTATTTCTCTATCTCTGTAAGAGATACAGAAATCTCTCTGGTAACATCTTTTATTTCCTTCCCAGTTTTAAATAGTTTCACAATATCCAGTCGTATTCCACTTTACTCAAGAGGATGCTGATACATTTTCTCCTTAATCCCTGAGTGAGCATAGGAAACAATCACTTACTGTGATGGTAGTGATCTATTAGCAGATTGCTATTCCCCTGCTGGTCTTTCATGCAGCAAATATCACCAAGTGCTCCAGTCTTGCATCATGAAGCGGTTTCTTACTGTGTTACTTTGTTTCTAAATTACCTGTATTCCCCACTGAGTTGTTATGGTGATTGGTTTAAAGAGCTGAATGTAGTCCTTCACTAACAGAGCTGAACATTGAGTTTCTATCTTTTGATGCAGAATAGTTGTGAGATCTTTGTGTTTCTTGGGGTTTCCAGCTATACCCTTCTGTATGCTGTGTCCTTACATTGATTTTTCCTTCCCAAGTGCTTTGCTTTCCTTTTTGAATTAAAAGTTATGTTAATCCCAGTATATAGAACTAGCTACTATTTTCCTCCTATTATGCACCTTCGGCTGTAGTAATTTATTCTTTAATTATCTTCTTCAACCTTTTTTAGTATTTTGAAATATGTGTTTTATTATTAAGTAGACTTACTCTATAGTTGAGTTTTCAAAAATTTCTGGTTTATGATAATGAAGTGAACCATTACTTGTGTGGAATTCCCAAAATTACCTTCTGTCTTCAACTAGAAATTCCTTCCTCTTCAATCAAGTCCTATAGTACATATTCAAAATGGATACATGATATGGAATAGGAAGCCCATACATTTGTATGATGTGTGTAGGGCTAAGAAGAAGCAAATGTCCTTCAAATTTACCTTCTTGAAGGTGAAGATACTTGTCATGAGATATTAATTAGGTGCAGAGAATTGCCACACTAAAATCAGTAAAGCAATGTGTTCCCTCCTTGTCCCACAAGCTCTATCTATCTGTACACACCTTTCAAAAACACCACCTGTGTGCCACCTGCTCTGGGTCAGATGGCCTGGGAAAAGTTATGCCATATCATAAGCTATTTGGCAAGACCACCAGATCTGAAGGTTAACCTCTGAAGTTTATCTATGTTTAAGTGTGTTTAATGAAAATGCTTAGATGCCAGGATCTTTTAAGCTGACTATATATATATATATATGTCTAATGTGACTTGTGAAATTTTATGTAGACCACACCTCTGTCTTCTATTTGTAAAGGTAAAATAGATGAGAAGGAAATCATGCTGTTCAGACATGCTGCTCTGGTACACCTGCTGGTGACAGTTCGAGATTTGCTACTAACATGTGGCTTGGATACAGCTCTAGGTTTGTTTTCAGTACTGAATAATGATACCCAGAAACCCAAAGATTTGTGTGTGTTGTGCAGGCCATCCCTCACATTTGCCATCGGGTATATGCTCAGTTCATGACTAATAGACTGGTGTTTATGTTATTCCATGGATTTGTTAAGAACTTCCACATTTATAATGTCTTATATCTCAGAATGGGAAATTTCCATTGGAATCTCTGTGTGGAAACTGAGGAGCATGTTAAGATTGTCAAGTCCTTTCATCTTTTGTGTGTGTGAAACACTTTCCAAGTAAAATATTGTTGGGCTTTGTGGAAGTGAGCTACTTAAATCTGAAAGCACCTTAAGCAAAATCTTAAAAGTTATCTAATATGTCACGAGGGAAGAAGTTTGAACTTACAACACTGGACTTACATAGAACACCCCTTTTTTTGGAGCTTTTCTGGTCTTATTCAAATTTGGAACATGACAATCCATTGTAACCCAGCTTAATGCCTGAAATGATAATGCTGAGCTTGTCAAATTCCCATAGTTGTGTATTTTGAATTTTCAGATACCTCTGTCAGGATAGATCCATAAAAAATTGAAGTCGGTGTATATGAATGCCCTAGGAAAGTCAGACTCCCTTTGTCTTTACAGGAGATAAAGTTGCTTCGGAGCATCTACCTTCAGTCTGAAATATCCCTTGATGGATGGTGTTTCCTTAAAATTGATGTAAAATGTAAAACATCTGCCATAAACTGAACTGTAGGGAAAAATATTTTGTATTTCCCTAAATATTTCTAGCAATTAAAGAATAGGAAGAAGAATACAGAACAAATATATAAGTAGAAACCCAAGTACCCCAAGTACAATTCTATCATTACGCTAAATAATGTAGAAGGATGGGAGGAAGAAAAATGGGCAGTTCTTCCTCCACTGTTTGTTGCAGCAGAAGCACTCTAGATGATATTTCGGAATTACAAAAGCACCTGTGTTTCCAAACCTGAGCAACAGCTCACACAGGAAATTGTACAAGTAAAATTACAAAAAATTAGAAAATTGAGCAAGATACTAAGTAGGCCTTGTAGTCTTCACTATTGTGTTGATGTGCAGTGATTCACTGTGTAGTTATATTGGATGTATTTCTTCTTTATGCATTTTAAGATTACCCCATTGTTCACCATTTATTCATAGAAGGCATCATTCAGAGTTGAGAATAGTTGTGTAATATGGCAAGTGGTAAACACACAGGACAAACAAGCTTTAGACAACAGTGATAGAAATACTGTTGTTAGTTAGTATAAACAATACAGATTAGTTAAATATAAGAGAGTTGCTGCTAGCATCTGCAGTTTTAGGATGCAATCTTTGTATAATTCTATCTGGAGTTACATAGCAGATACTACATAAAGTAGAGCAATTTTATAAACACCATTTGTGTATCCGATTAGTGGTCGTATTCTCCTTCCATACTGGGGAGCCATAAAATTTCCTGGTTTTGTGTTAGATACCTTCACACAAATTTTAAATTGATGTGCAGATGCTTGACAAATATATTTTGTCACTTTATTTACTTCTTTTGTTGCTTTATTAACAGGTTATTTGTCCAAGGCAAAGGATATCTATAAAAACATTTTAGAATCCTGTTTGAATAATATCTGGAGGCAGTTGAAGATTATACAGTACAGCAGCCAGAAAAAGCATGAAACTCATCCCAAAATAACAGCACTTCAGTGTGAAATGTTAAATTGGATGAAAAGTTATGGAGAGAAACAGAGTGTTAAGGTTAACACAATGTAACCACTTTCTCTTAACAAACAAAATTGTTCCAGATTACATGAATAATTGCAAAATTATGTTTTAACAAGGGTTTGTTTATGAAAAGAAAGTATAATAATTACCCCATGGTATCTGTTAAGTAAGACTAATATAAATTTTAAGAACTCTGTCACAGCAATACAAGTTTTTGTTTGCTCAAATCTCCTGTTGTTGCATACTTGAAAAACATGCAAAAGAGTTTTAGCATTGCCAGGGCTTTATCTTGTTGCAGGTGGTTTTGTTTTCTTGATAAGTATATTGTATCACATCAGTTACTGAAAATTATAGTGTAATCTTTTATTTGAAAGCATCAATCATCTGACACAGAGAGAATCATAGTGCAAGTCATGAATGTGTGCCTAAATGGCATGACTTGGAGTGTATGTATGCCAAGGAGTGTGTGGATGGTGTCATCCACAGATAACCTCTGTTAACCAGTGTATCTAGCCAACCTCCTGGCATTTGAATGATATAAGAAGAAAATATTTGTGAGTGATAGCTTTGATGTGGAAGAGAGAGTTCTGGAGGATATTGAGATTATCCAAAGATTCTCTTTTCTGATATGTGAATATTTTGGGTGATACGATGCAGTGAAAATCACCGCTTTCCTTTGCAAAATATTTATTATTTCTTTACAGAATACTGATCATGTTAGGAAACAGGATGAAATGCGTAGTGTTAAAAGTATTCTGTTTGGAATAGAATTTATGATCCTAAATGCAGCCAAAAAAGATCTTTAGGTTTATTTTAGCTTCTTTCCGCACTTTACTTCCAGGGGATTTATTCTTCTTGTGTTTAAGAGTTGCACTGGGAGCTCTGAATATCTTATGATTAAATTTTGCTGAGAAGAACAATATAATACCTTATTATACACCCTTCTATGATTTAAATTAAAATGAAGCAATTGATTGTCTTGTCTGTCCTTCAGCTGACACACTAAGATGATTTTGCATTCTTTTTGTCTTCTTAAGAGCAACACATTTTGCTTTGTCATACTAGGATTATTTTGTAGGAGGTATATGAGAACCTGATGTTGTTCCACGTGTGTGCAATATTATGTTACATATGATTTTATTCTTAATTACTAATTGCTTATTGTTTCCTAGCATTCAGAGACAGGTTTTTATGAGCCAGTCTAGGTAGAAGGAGTATTCCAGTTTAATAAGAAGTAAAAGTTGTATTCAATGAACTATTTACTATTCGATCATATCACATCAATATCAGTTAATATGATGTGAAATATTATAGTCTCATTATCCTTTTATTAGCCAAAGTTGTTATTGATGCAGGATTCTAATGGGATATTTCCTTTGCAAGGAAGAAGCTACTGCTGATTTAGAAAAATAATTAATTCTGCTCTTTGTTTCATTATCTTTTGTACTCATGATTAGATACAAATTCATCTAGCTCATGTGACTGTATAATGAGTCTGCTGTTGAATTGTGTGTGGAAAAGCAGGTCTACATTTTTAAATGCAGTTGTCCAAAACTGCTTATAAAGATGACAGTGGATTGTTGACTGGTTCTTCTGTGCACCTACTTAAGGAAGTTGAAATCTGCCTTATGATTGTCTGACCAGAAGTTCTTTTCTGGCAAGATCTAACACACTTTTAATATTTACACATATGATTATCTTATGTCTGTAAATCATAAGACTGAGCCAATGCTATGTGCCTTCTTAAAAAGTTTACCTTGTGTGCACCATGAAAAATGTCTGTTGGCATAAAAGTTCAGAGAGCATCCTGTCAGACAGTATGGTGCATGTATGTAGGTACATATTCTTCTTTTTATACTTAGTATAGTATGTGTTTAGTTTGTATCAGTTGAAATGATGGATGAGATAAACACCTTCTGTGGTGGGGATTCTTTTTAATGCTGTGTTAGTTTGGTAGATTCTAATCCTTTTCAACATTTTTGTCTTAAGCAATATTTAACAAGTCTCATATCTCTGGCAGAAACACTTTTGTGACTTCATCTACAGACTGGAAAAATATTTTTAACTAGTTCAGCAGTGCATACAGTACCTCTCTCCAGTACATCAGTACTTTGCAGGCTGAATTCTATGTATCTTCAGCTTAAGTTTTTTTTTCCATAAGGATAGTGTTTCAAATGTGACAGATCTGTCTAGTACAATAGTAATAATGTGGTATAATATCTTCAGATAGTGTCTTTAAGTAGCATTCTTTTTGAGTACAGGAGCAGGCAATTCCAAGCAAGTCAAAAGCCAAGCAAGCAAGGCAGGGATCTTCTAGAATTTAGGTGGAAAAGGAATATATATGGACTTTGGAAGTCACTTACAAACAGGTGACATGAAGGGACTTTAAAGAGGCTCTTCACTCCTGTAGGGAGAAAATTTAAATGGCCAAAGCTCAACTGAAGTTCAAGCTGGCCAACACCATGATGGAAGACAAAAAGAGCTTTTTTAAATAAGTCAAGAGCAAAATAGAAATCAGAGATAACATTGGTCTATTGCTCAACAAGGTTGTCACCTCACAGATAGGGACATAGACAAAGCAGAGGCATTAAAACAGTGCCTTGTTTTGTCTCTGTCTTCAATCCCCAGAGTGCAGTGTTAGAAGACTGTGAGGATAATGTTAAACTCCCAGCCAGTCCTCAACTTGTTTGAAACTTGCTACTCCATCTGGATGTGCATAGACATATGAGCCCAGTGGGGTTCATCCCAAGGTTCTAAAGGAGCTCAAAAATATCATTGTGGGAATTCTTCCCATTATTTTCAAACAGTCTTGGGAGTCTGGAGAGATCCCAGTTGATTGGAAGGTGTTAAATGTTGTTTCAGTTTTCAAGAAGGGAAAGAAGAAAGCCTCTGGTAATTGCAGACTTGTCCATCCCACTTCAGTGCCTGTTAAAATTATAGAAAAGTTTATTCTGGGACTTACTGAACAACTCTTGAAACACAATGCAGCCATTGGCTGCAACCAGCATGGGTTCAGAGAAAAGTGCTACTTAACCAACTTCATTTCCTTTGTTTTCCCACTTATAACAAGGTGACCCACCTAGTTGACCCAGGGAAGCCAGTGAGTGTAGTTTTTAATTTTAGCAAAGCTTTTAATATCGTCTCTCACAGTATCCGAGATGAACTGCTCATCACAGAGCTAGACAAGTCCATAATATTGGGTTAGGTGAGCAATTGACTGGTGGGTTGAGCTCAAAGAATTACAGTGAATGGAATTACATTACTGGCTGGTGGCCAGTGACCAGTGGTGCTCCTCGGGGCTCAGTTTTAGAGACAGTGCTCTTAATTGTTTTTATAAGTTGTCTGGACACAGGAATCAAAAGTGTATTAAGTGATTTTACTGATGACACTAAATTAGGAGGAACAGTGGACTGTCTTGAGAGTAGAAAGGCCTTACAGAAAAATTAAATTAGGGAGCTGAGCACTCACCAGCTCTATGAAGTATACTGAGACTGAGTGCCAGATTCTCCACCTGGGATGGGGCGATCGTGTTTATACATACAAATTGGGAAAGAAGAGACTGGAGCCTAGTGGAAAGGGAACAGAAGTCTGGGTCAATTGCAAGTTGAGTCAGCAGTGCCGTGGCAGCCAGGAGGAGGGCCAGTCATGTCCTTAGGGGCATCAGGCCCAGCATCACAGCTGGGCAAAGGAGGGGATTGTCCTGCTCTGCTCTGAGCTGGGGCAGCCTCACCTCCAGTGCTGGGGGCAGGTCTGGGTGCCACAATATAAGCAGGATATCAAACTTGTTGCTTTTGTCCGTCCAGAAGAGGAGGACCAAGATGGTAGAAGGTCTCAAGGGCAAGAGGAGGGGCAGCTAAGGTCAATTCTGTTGTTCCTTGTGGGGAAGAGAAGGCTGAGGGGTGACCCGTTCACAGCCTACACCTTCCTCAAGCGAAACAGCAGTGGGGAAGGTGCATATCTCTTCCCTCCGGTGACCACTAACTAGGACACAGCAACTGGAATGAAGCAGTGTCAGAGGATGTTCAGGCACATTAGGCAAAAGATTCTCCACTTAGAGGGTGGTCTTCCCTGTAACAGGAGTGGTTAAGTACCAAGCCTGTCCAAGTTCAAGAAGATCTTGGACATAGTCATATGGTTTAGTTTTAGGTAGTCCTGTGAGAAGCAGGCAGTTGGACTCTATCCTTATAGGTTCCAACTTGAGATACTCTACAATTGTTGTTGTGGAAAACTCCAAAGTTTCTGGTTTTGCCATCTGTTTATTCAGTCTTGTATGTTCTATGCAGAAGAGAAAGAAAGATGTATGTGGATTGAAAGAAAAAAAAAAATAACATTACTACAGTTTCTTTTACTTGTCTTCATACAGATACTAATCATTACAAGGATGGACTCTGAAAAAGCTGCCTTCATTCACCCATTATCTGGGATAGATGGTAAGTAATTATTTAATGTGATTTTTTGATATAAAAAGTGGCTGTTACTCTGTAGATTGCTGCATTCCTGTTTGAATGCTTGGTGCAGGTGTTTCTTCCTTCTCATCAGGAGCCTTCCTACATACTTTTCTCATACTGTTTAATATTTTGCAACTCTTCCATCAGCCTTTTATCTTTTATTTTCTCCCATTTAAGTGTTCTGGTTTAATGTGTTCTATTGCAAGAGAGTGGTTAATTTCTGTGTTGAGTCAAAAATTTTTTTAACAGAACATGAAGAAATTGTGGACAGCCCATAGCCTAATTTTATTTGCATCTGTTATCTTGATCAGATTGTTTCATTGTTTTTAGTTCATCATTGGTCACAAACTTTCTTTTTAAAAGTCTGGACTAAACTCCCCAGCGAAAAGCCTTGAATGAGTAGTCAGATACAAATCATGTTTTCCTTTAGCTATATGTTGCTGATGTTGTTTGCTAATTTGTTAAATATGTCAGCATAAGCTGTATCAATCTATGAAACTCAAGGCAAAAATATACTATTTCCAGTATCCCACCTCCCCACTGATACAACTTGCACTTTCATCACGTCAACATTTTACCTGTGTGTAATTTTACAAGTACAAGCTTGTTCAACACTGCAAATTCAGCTGGTAAAACAAACATGTTTCCTTTCATATTGATTTTTTATATTCCATTTTCATAAATCCTACTTGCTTGAACCTTATCAAGTATCGTGTATTGTACTGTTCTTTTGCCTTTAAAAATAAAGTTAGATTTCCTGTGCTCTTAAAAGAAGAAAGCCTGTCTTTTAGAATGTTTTGAAAGGGAGGAGGCATGTTCACAGTGCTTTTGCTAATAATAATATTTAATGAAAATTAAGATCACTTAAGTTTTAAGACTTGGTTGCAAACACAGGTCAATCCAACTACACTTTTGAAAATAGGCACTTGTGTAGTGCTGGGAAGGACGAAAATTTAACAGAAAAGTTTTAGTGATATGAATGCTTAGCAGAAGGTTCTCTAGAAATGAAAAGAAGCTTTGATATATGAAAGATGTTTCTAGGACCAGTTGTTGCCGAAGCAGCTGAGAGAACAAAGGTTTAGTCGAGTTGGAAGGTTTAGAACAAATGTTTAGTCAGTTAGAAGGAGGTTTTATGGCTAAAGTCCAACAGGTTACATGGTCTTCAAACAAATCATGTTTTCTACCAAGTAAAAAAGCATAGACAGAAAGATTTTTTTTACCAAAGCAAAAACAATTTTCCACTGCAAAACAAGTTTCACAGTTTAACATTTAATTACTAACTCAAATGATTGGTTAGTCACTAACATAGTATTTAGCAGTTATGATAGGATAAATGTAATTAGGTAAATAGGTAAATTTAGCAGTTTTGATAGGATACATGTAAATGTGAAGATATTGTGTATGATGCTAATTGGTTGTTATGTAATAATATGCACAGCAAAAGAAAGAGATATAATGCATTGTAACTAAACTAAATGGGCTTCAGGACACATGGTTTGCCTATAGCCAGCAGCTGTAGGAATACTCATGACCCCTTGCTGTAATCTAGTCTATAGAATAAACAGCATTATAAAGAAGAGCCATCTGTAGTCCCCATCTCACCACTGTCTCTTACAGTCCACTACCAACATTCCTTCTTAGATACATCTTCCAGTTAAAATTTCAAATGTATAAAAAGTGTAAAGAAATTAAACTTATTAAAGGGGAAAATATGCTTCCTTTTGTATTACCCTTTAATACTTCATTTTAAGGTAATGGGGTTGTGAGTTTGTGAGACATGAAACTTGTTTGTGTTACTTTTTCCTTGGGCTCTGAAAATGAAGTTTCTAAACCATTACATCAAACAGTACAATACAAACAGAAATTGTACAGGACTTCAGCAAGACAGAATATGTAATACTTGAAATTTTAATAACCTGTGTTGTTCCACATTTACTACTTACTGTTGTGCGTTGATTCATAGTGATAGAGGTTCATTTATTTCATAAACTCTTTGATTTTTTTAATGCAGGCTTGAAAGTTGTGGATTTGAATTCTGAGAAGAAAGGAAGCCCTTTAAGTTGTAAAGAGATAATAAGCAAGTAAGTCACATTCTTGATTCTTGAGAACAAATTCTTTAGTCAGGACTAAGGTTAGTGAAACTTCAGTTACTTTAGTACATTTCTATGGGGCTTTCCAGTCTGGAGTAAAGTCTCCATAATATGAACCTACAGCTTCATTTTTAGAGTTGAGAATTTTGTCGACTCTAGAAAAATGCTTGGTGGGGTTTAGGGGAACTTTAGGGAACAAACAATTGCATATTCTTTAAATCTTGTTTTGTCTGTTTAGGAAAACTTTTTTAGTAGAAAAACATTATTTTGGCATGTTTTAGAAAACGGTGGTGAAAGTGCATAACAGAAGAAATGACAAATTACATTTCTAGAAAATAAAATATTTCAGGCAGATAACTATAGGAGGAAGAGTACAGATTTTGATTTTTGAATTAATTTTAAAAGGAGTTGGAGACTTAGCCAGGAAGGGTAAATAATTTTTTGTAAACAGACTTTAAGCAGTTAGAATTCTTCAAAGTAAAACTGAGTTTATTTTGTCCTGAGGGTAATTCTACCTACACTTACTTTTATTTATATTTTATTGTGTTTTTTTAAGTCTTAGTAGATATTCCTGTATTATTGTACATAATCAGCAAATTGGAGCTGACTTCCCTTGGACACACTTCTCATTAGTAATGGAATATGATTACTCTGAAAATTCTGGCTGGAAAAATCTGTGCAAAAATCTGAATGTTACTTACATGACTTTTAAAACCACCCTCCCTGGAACAATACAAATGGGTAAGTGCTCTCCAGAAGTGTAATAAACAGTTAGACTGAGATGTGAAAAGAAAATATTTTCTGTTCCACAAATTGCTATATTCATATGCCTGTGAAAGAGCATGAGTAGTATATTACAAGAGCTAAAGCTAAACAAACAGTGCTGGGTTATCTATGCGGCAAGGAGGTGTTTTTATTTGAGTGTAAACCTAGTTTTGGCCAGGATGTAGTAGTACATGTGGGTTCATAAGACACTTGTGCCAAGTTCTTAAGTTGTTTACAGCTTCTGCAAGCTGTACCCACCCTTCCTCATCCTAAGGGAATGTTGTAGATCTAAAAAAGTCTGAATTAAAGCATAATTTCAAAGAGATTCAAAGGAGTTTCATTTTGGGGAAAAAAAAAGTATAGAGTGGAAGCATTTTATTGGAGATGAATAAAAGATGCACTTTCAAATGTCCATTTGTATTTATTTAGATATTATGTATTTAGAACATCAATAAGCAAAAAACTCCAGTTTTTTGCTTATTAAGCTATCATCTTACATATATAAAATGTTTCAGGGAGTCATGGTGGTTCCTTTCTTCTGGAAGTACAGATTCCATATGTATTTCTGACAACTGAAGGTCTTCTTAATATGCCAGATATTCTTCAGCTTTTTGAATCCAAGTGAGTGAAAAGAGCCTATTTAATCATGTGGACTATTTATTTTCAGATTTTCAGGACATGTTGTATGTTGACATGACAACAGTATGTTGTTCTACTCTGTATTGTATTAGCTATCTGTTTGGCTATCAGGTACATTCCTGTGATTAAACTATTAGTACTGTAAGAGAAAAGAATATAGTTTTTTTCTGTTGAAGTTGATAACTTAGTACTAGAAATTCACACACATGCCAGCCAGAATGGAATTGGCCAATATTTTAATTGTAGCTGGTACTTTTTAATCAAAACAGCTTTTTTAATTGTCTACTTTTCTCTGAAATTCATAACATTAACAAACTTCTCTTTTCTTTAGTGCTTCTTGGTCCTTGGAAGACTTTGTATTTAATTCTTCATAAAAATTACTTTGGGATTTTTTTTTTGTTTTTTTTTTTTTTTGTCTACTGAAGCTATGCTAAATACTCAAGCTGAATAACAGTAAAACATCATCTTTCCTGGTGCATCACAGTGTTTAGGAGAGGATAAGTTTTCAACAAAAGCTAATTTACTCATAAAATTCAGATCCACTATTCACTTAGTTTTTAATTCTCTATAACCTGTATGAAAACTACTAGGGTTGTAAATCATTGTGCTTCTTTATTGACATAATTTTCTTGAATTTTGCTTTCACAGTAATAAATACTTGGTAAAGCTACCTTTTATCTCATGAGGGAAAAGTGAAAAGAAAGAAAGAAAGAAACAGGGACCAGAGCAGCCCTATCTCTCAAACATAATGACAGAGATACAGATAGTTGATTTCACCATGTTGCAGGAGAGACATGCCAGTTTTAATCCTGGCTATATCCTTGAGTCAGCTGTGGAGCCATTTTTTGTCTGTGTCCAATTACAGTTAAGCAGGGGGAAAAAATAAATGTCTTTGACATTTAAAATTTGAACCCACAATCTGACATGATTTTAAACTCTGACTTGAACAAGTTTTCTGTTCAGCCTGGCTATAAGCCACATAGCTGGGAACAATGTTTTGTTACTTTTTAACTAGCTCCTTTTAGCAGTGATGAAGGACTTAAATAGGTGAGCAAACAGCTGTACAATTTCAGAAAAGCTAAGAGTTTACTTTTTTTAAAGTTTCTCAATACACGGTCCATAAAGTTTCTAGAGGACATACTGCTGGCAGATTCAGGTTTAGGTCTCTTGTGTCTCCTAGTAAAACGTAACAGGAGGCTGTGCTGCTGGCAGTTCTAAGTCAGTCAGAAATTTTAGGATTATACCAATGGCAGTCAGGGAGTTTGCTTTGCCTTGTGCTGCACAATCATGAAAGGAGGAAAAGAAATACAATATGTTAAGTTTGTCAGAAAAAGTTTCTAGGAATCTATTACCTATAGAATCTATATTATAATATATATAATATATATGATATATAATAAGTATAATCTATATTACCTCTTATTTTTTGTAAACTCGAAGCCTGGATGTCAATGTCATACTCAGTGCGGTTAGAAATATAATTTAATTTCACTAAATCACTGCTACATTGATATGTATTGTTCAAGTGTGTCTTAAAGTGAACTGAGCATTTGAGAAAGATCAAGACCATGCAAGTTAAAAAACTATATTAGGGGGTGTACGTTACCAATTTTCTTTAAGAAAATAGTATTGTTTTACTTGTCTGAGTTCTAATGAAACAGTTTTACTTCCTCAGGTACAGCATTACCTTTGTTGAAAGAAGCAGTAGTTACTCCTTAAGGCTTTTTGGAAGTATAGATCGTTATGTTGTATTGACAATAGATGAAGGTACTGCTATCTTTTTACAGGTACAGAATGAAACTACTGTGTCCAAGTTCTGTTATGTGTTTGGTCACTTTTAGGCCATATCTTCAGACTTCTGACTTATCTTTTCTTTCCCATAATCATATTTAATTCATGCATTGTTTCACATCACAAATCATTAACCCTAAAATTCTGTCTGTGCCAGTTTGACTAGTTTAAAATGTTCTCAGTTTCTTCACTGAAGTAACATTTGACCTGTGATTTGATCATATGAAATGTAGTTAAAGGATGCATACTTGAAAATAGGGTTGCATAAAGAAATTTTGTAACAACCAATTAAATGTATTTATGATACTATTCTCTTACCAGTGTGCATATTAATTCCTCCCATTTCAGATGATTATCTGAAATAGTCTGTAGAATAATTTGTCCTACTTTTAATAAAAAATAATAGTTTAAGCAATAGCATACTACTTGAATTCTGGTATGCAGCAAGACAGATTACTGGTAAAAGAGCTGCTTCTGAAAAATAATACATAATAAAATAATCAATTAGTATCACAAGTACAGCATAGACATTCCTACAAGCTACTGCAATTAGTGATGTTGTACTTTATTATAGAGTCAGTGTAGGTATGATAGGATTTGTATAGGCCAAGTAAGTACTTCAGAAGTTTATGACAGTATTTTACATCAATAAAGTTCACAAAAAATCTTAAGAATAGCCTATAAAGGTATTGACAGTGTTTCTTTTTAGAGCAAGGAAGAAGAGGCATAAAGCCAAGAATCAGCTTTTTGAAGTTCAAAGAAAATAGAAGTTTGGAATACAAGCTAGTTCTCCCAGTTCCCATATGTGTCCTTAATGCTGACATTGTTTAGCTATATTTATGTTTGGTCTAGGTTCTGCATATTAGATTGATAGTCATTAGAAGCTTGGGGCAGCCATGGTGATGTTATAAATTAGTTATTAGTAACTAAATAATATTATTTTTATTTATTAGTTATTTAGTTTTTACTCTTTATTTAAATTTCATGGTAGAGTATGGAAGAACTAAATTATGAGGACTCTTGTGACACTGTAATATCGAGACTGATGGCATTATCACTCCAATATATGTGCTGTTGGATTATTTTCTATTCCAGAGAAAGACTGAGTTCAGAGTAAGTTACTAAATTCTTTTGTTATACTGTTTTTATATTGTTTTATATTGTTTTTAAAACAACTTGTCACTAAAGAAAGCTGCTTATTAAAATAAAGTGATATTCACTTATCTTTGAACTTCTCTGTAGGAATACATTTATGTTAGAACAATGCAAGTATTGTAAACTCGTATTTCTAGTGTGCTTTGAGTTTTTCGTTTGGTTACAATGTTGTTGTGCTCATACTGAAAAACTCAGTGAAATTGTAAAAGTAACAGTGATCACTGGAGACCACCAAAATGTTACAAAATTTGTTTTTTATTTGTAAGCCTATTTTTAGTCTTAGAAAAATGATAAAGAAAGGGTTGTTACAAAAAAACAGAGTTTTGGGGATGCAGTACTAACATGAGGTGTATTTCAAATCAGCAGATCCAGAAATTTCACAACAATAAGGATATGAAATACTGGAATTATTCCTACATCTCTTTGAAGTAAACCCCTACAAATGCATGGTTATGAATTACTGTGTTAGTTTCACTGTATATAATTTGCAACTGGGGAACATTCTTCAAATGTTCTTCCAGTGTATCAGTAATTCTCCTTTTGCTATGGAAGCACACCTTTTGTTGACATGGTTCATAAACATTAATTTATTACCTCTTTGGGGATTTTTACTCTATAAGCAAGTGGTAATTTCCTCTGTTGTTTTTTTTTTTCCAGTGTCTCCAGTGACTGACCTTGATCCAGACCTTTTTCTTCAGACCAGACTTGCTTTTCTGTAGACTATTTTCTCTTTTTTCTTTTTCTTTTTTTTCTGTTTTTCTGTTTTCTTTTCTTACAGTCCATCCTTCAGCAGTCAGTCCCTTAATGTACTCTAGTTCTCTTTCCACAGATATTAATGCTCAAACTGTACCAGTATTCTGAATTCCAGGAAATGAAACAGATATTTATGAAGACATGGAACAAATGGTTTGAGATTATTACATGTGCCTATTAAATATTAGTGATCCAGTAAAACTGTTTTACAGGTACAGTCTCAAGGGAAATACTCTGCTTAATCTTGTCTTAATTTATGCCACTGTAATTGAACTTACACAGAAGTCAGAAGACTTTGAAGTGAAGGTAATTTTTTTCTGTATTAATCTTCATGATATGATATTTCTAAAAGCTCAGTCAAGTATGCCTTCTACATCAAAAACATAAAATAGCTCAAAATTACTGAAATAAGAGAGGATCTTAATTCAGTGCTGGTAAAGTCAGTGCAAAGACTATGTTGACTGCAGTACAAGTTGAATCAGATTCAAATAGCAGCTGAAGTCTTTTTATAACTAGGAGTGAAAAAATGAGGCCATACCTTTAATAAATTTTTAGAATACATATTTATCCTTCTTATGTCTTAATTTGAAGTTTCAGATAAATATTATGTTGTATTATTATTTGCATATTAAAAACGGTATAAAATTTACCTGATTAAATGAAAGTTACAAGGGCAAAGAGAGGATGAAGCTTTTTTAATTTCATTTCGTTTCACTCAGCAGTGTAGATTGTGTAAAAATTATAGCTTCAAAATGTTACACATCTTCTTAAACTGTAATAAGCATCTCACAATTGTCTTGTTTCATTAGGAGCTCATTTATACCCAGAAATTTGGTTACATATAAAAGACCTATAGGATAAATCAGTTAATTTCACCTACACAGGATTTGATAAATAAAGAGTGTAATTGCAGCCAGGCTAGTAGTCAGAGGTTAGAGTTTTTCTGCATGATAAGCATGGATCAGGTTTAATTACTGCAGTACCAACTCTTGTGTTCAGGGTGACCCTTAGTTTTCACCTCAACTTCTGCAGCAAATTAAGACATTCCTAAGAGTAGGTTTTAACCAAGAATATTATGTATCACTTTTAGGTAATTCTTACTCCAGGGATTGAAGAGACAGCACTGGTAATTCGTCAGATTGCTGACAACATTTTGATAGCATCTAATATCAGTCCTCATGAGTGGCTGGACAAATCCTGGCTTTCTGTCTTGCCATCTGAGGTTTGTTTCTCTTCCCATGAATTTACAGGGTTATTTTCCTGTTTCTAAGATTCACAAAGTTTTAGGATTTTTTTTTTTTGTTGTAGTTCTCTTAAAATATATTACTAAAACAAGCATTATTATATATGGATATCTAGATATGCAGATATTTATACAAGCATATTTCTAGCATATATGCAAAGATGGAAATTTCCATCATCCATGTCAGCGGAATTAGATGTAACTTGGTCTTTTTCTGTGCTTTCACAATTAACCTGCAGGGAAGTTTATCCACATCTTCCTGCCAATTTGTGCAGTTCTACAGTTCTAGGCACTAGGTTTAAAAAACTGTCCAGATTGTAAAAGATAACTATAACTATACAGTGGCTCATCAGCAGTGCTGATCCATTATTGAAGTCAATGGAATTACATCCCAATTTGCTTTAGTAACAGATGGTAAAAACTTGTTTAACTCATGCAGTTACTTGTATGACTCATTTCAGTAAATGCTGGAACAGGCTCATCATTCACCATCAAATATATGATATCCTTTAACCTGTACAGTAAGATGCTCAAATGAAACTTATGGATTTGTTCATTTTATGTGACAGCTTTGAACTCTTGTAAAGCTGAGATTGCTTTTTGGCTTTTGCAAAATTATAGAAGCATTATAAAGCAGGTATTGGCATGGCCTTTCAAGAGAGGAGTATTGGTTTATAGGTCTTCCAATTTAGAGATTAAGGATGCTGGTAAAAAATTGAGAGGATTAATTGTTTTTGTGTCTCTGTTTAATATATTTGATCCTGGTGTTTTATGAAAGTCAGGAAGAGGAAGCTGACACTGATAATCAGCTACTCTCAACTTGCTGCCCTGTTTGTGACATTCATCCTCTCCCTAACAACTCCTGCTTTTGCCACCTGTTTCATTACCTGTAACAAATACAGGTTTTGTAAAACAGAACCAGTTTTGTCAGTTTATATTGATCTAGGTAATTCACTTTAACATGGAGAATTAATAGTAAATCTGGTAATGCATTTTAAAATCAAGTTTAAGTTATTCACTGGTTTTAGTCTTTAGAAAATAAACATATTTAAACTTACTTTTTGTTAAATGGTTATGCAGAACTTAACTCTTTTTCAGAAATTATACTTTGTTGCACCAATAGTAAGAAAAATGAATTTTTATTGGACTATAAAAGTATACAGTTTGAAAGCTGTCTTTCTATTATATACTCTAGGACTTATTGAGTAAGATGTGACTTTGTAGTAACAGGAAACAAAGGATAAAAACTTTGTCAGATATCAATCTAATAAAATAATTTCCATTTTCAGACCGAGAAATGCTTGCTTACTTTTCCATGTATCAATCCTTTGGTTGCTCAGTTTATGTTAAAGAAGGGGTCTTCACTGAACAGGTTATTTCTTGCAAGCTTTGATCAACTCCAGGAACTTCTGCCAGAGGTTCCAAAAAAAGTTTTAAAGGTGGGCCAAAATTATTTTATGTATTAGATCAAATTTTTTTCTTTTGCTCCGTTGTAATATGTGGTTGTTTTGTTGAGTTTTTTGCATGGGCTGGTGTAGTTTAAAAATTAATAACAGGTTTTAGCCTATCATTCATTTCCAAAATGTTGAGTCTGCTGATTCTCAGCAGATTTTTTTAAATCACTGTTTTGTTTGTGGGAAGATAATGAGAGCATTTCCTTAACTGTATATATAACTAATACTCATTAGATCAACTTCCTCCTCAAGGTTCACAATACTGAGTATTGTATGAGTGTGTGCAGGCTTTTGTCTATTTCTAATGTAAAAGATGTTTTTCCAATTAAATATTTCCAGGATTTCCCTCCTTCCTCCCTGCCTGCCTTCCTGCTTGCCTTCATTCCTTCCTTCCTGTCTGCCTCCCCCCTCCCTATATTAGCATTCATAGTAGTAAGTGTTTGAGAGCCCGAGAGATGAATTGTGTGCTCCTACTGTTCCAGCTGGGTCAAGTCTGGGGAAATCGTAGACTGAATACAGTCATTTAATTCAATAAAAAAGGCATATATTTTATCATTCAAGAAAATGGTTGAAAACACCAGTCAATTAAGGTAAAGCATTCCAGTAAGGTGAAGGAGCAAGTGAATGGATAACTGGACACTGAATGTGAAATTGTGCATACTATTGTTTTAACTGTATATACATAAAGCCATCTTTATTAACAGAAGAAGCTCAGTTAAATTTCTCTGTAATGCATAATAGGTGCCAGTCCATTGCAGACACTTCTTCCTACAGTCTTGGAGGAATGAAAGAGAATAAACTGTATTAAGATATTTCTTTTCCTGTATTTCAAGACAGAAACTATTACTTAATCTGTTTATAGCTTTAAGACAGGTGGTACATTTTGTACTGTACATGCCTGTCCTGCTTTGGTAAGTACTTTTTTTTTGTGTTCCAGTAAACAAAAATTTATACATCTTATAATCTTAACAATTGATTTATCTTTTTGTACTTGGCAGCGTAGACATGTACCATAAACATTCCTGACAAATACTTTATTGTTTCAGCATTTCAGTGACATAGTATCTTCATACAGCCTAAATACTGCCGCTCCTCTAGAAAAAACACTGAAAAGTGCATCACGCCCAGAAAACCAGAATAATTTCAACACATTGTACCTTGACAATAAACAAAATTGTCAGATTTTAGATCTGCTTGATAAGGCACAAAACAACACAGGTAATACCTTTAATTACTAGGAAAATGTGTCTCCTTTGAAACCAAGTGAAAAATCTGAATGTATTAGAATCTTATCTTCTAATCAGGGTAAGGCCAGTTATTCTGATGAGACAGACTGCAATCACAATGCTCAATGACATCTTGGTTTTCTGTAAAATGTTAAAAATAAGCTAACCTTTCATTTTTCAAATAAAATAGTCCAAATTTTTCTCTACCAGGAATGTCTCATATGAATTTTGAACCCCTAATTCCTCCACTGAATCATCGTAAGGGTGTTTTAAATTCTGATCTTCCAAGCTGTATGCGAAAGAAAGCATGCTTATCAGATGTAATTACAAGGAGGAAGCCAGATTTCATTGCTGTGTCAAAGGACTATGAAGATTTTGCTCATCTAGAAGTTAAAAATTCTCTCCATGTTCAAAGACAGCCTTTCAGGATGCATGATAGCTCTGATAATTCTTCCAAAGACTGTGAAAAAGAGGACTTCTTTGCAACTTTCAGTGACTGTGCACCTCAGGAAAGTTTTAAGAGTTTTCTAGAAGAATTTACAGACACAACATGTAACAGCCCAGAAATTCAAATTGCCCAGCCTCTGTGGAATGACTCTTTATCCACAAGCCCACATAATTCACTTGCGCATGATGATTTTCTCTCTGATTTCTTTGATGGTATGGATAAGCTTCCAAATCTGAATTTTAACCAAATAGGTGGAGGATCTACAGGAAAGAGAAAACAAAGGCCTCCATTCTTCTGGACCAAAGAAAATATTAAAACAGGTAGGTCCAAAGTAAGCAGATTTTGCTGAAATTCTTTCTTGTTATTCAACTTCAAAGTTTTAAAGAGTATGTGTAAGACTGTATTTTATCTTTTATTTAAATAGCTGTTAAATCAAATTCAACCCAACAATTGCATGCTCCCTAAATTGCATGCTAAAACTTATTTGCATATGTATTTTTTCTGTGTTAAAAGAAGAAAATTACAGGTTTTGTTTTGAGCGTAAAGATGCCTTGGGGTATTTAAAAATAAAATAAAAAAAAGGCCAAACCAAATGAACTAGAATGGTGTTGCTGCCATTATTTTCCCTGGTAAATATTGAAAAGCATAACTCTTCAATACTGTAAGATTCAGCTTCTTTTCTCTTTGACAGTGCCTAAAATATAATGAACATGCCAGAACTAATTTAAAAGTTATAGGGAAGATTGTTTTGTAAACATAGAGTTGGAGAAGGGTCTACAAAAGACTGTATTTTCTCTATAGGACAAAAAGGAAATTCAGCAAATCCTGAGGGTGAAATTCAGATTCTCCTAATGGCTTTATTTTGCTATTGGCACAAATGGAGTAAAAATGGCACTCTGAAAATTTTCTAAGTTTGTTTCATATGTTTCCTTGTTCCTGGATTATTTTTTTAGCTAGTATCTCCAGGGGTAAACTCTCCACTTGAAATGATTCCAAAGCTTGTATTTTCAAAGAGATGGTATGATGTGTACTTCAAAAAATACTTCATTTTGTTTACCCTGAAAGTGTGTACAGTCCTTATACAAAATATTAGGCTTCTCTTTTTTTGTAGTTTTCTTATTCCTGGTTTACTCTATCAAATATAGTAAGCTTGAAACCTTTTTCAACAAACCATAATATGTATCCACAGAGTCTTACAACTAAGAAAGACCCTATGACTTCTCCCTGTCAGACTATGTGTTGCTATATCATTTACTGTAGCATGTTTTTTTGATTCTTCTATTTCCCAGTAGGTGAGATGCCATATTTTTTTAAAAAATACAAGTTTGTTTTTAAAAAGTGACTATCACCTAGTACAGATTACTTAATTTATGATTTGTCTGTTGCTGGCTGTCATTAAATCTCTTGGTGCTAGAAGGTCAGCGCAGCATTAAAATGCTTCCACTAATCAGATCAGACTCATTCACGTAAACTAATTTTAATCACTCTTTCATGGACTGCTTAGGGTAATTATGGAGGTAAAGGGAGAAAAAGTTAATTTGATATGGTGGACTTATTTTAATTTTCAATGTATGTAAATTTAAATGTTTATGCAGAAAATCAGAACAGACCTTTTGCTCCTCTGGAATTACAACTGAGACCTGCAGTATTGCTGAGTAGGTAGCAAATATTCTGATAGCATTCTATGTGCAATATATTTCAGTAGAAATCAGGGAAGATTCACCTGGTACCACATTTTATGGTGATACCGTACTGAAAACACTGGGATCTCCAACTGATAAGCTTTCTTTATTATTCTTGCTCAGTAGGTCAAGAGTACACTTGAATGTGAATCAAATCAAAACAAGGAAAAGTGATTCTTGGTTTATATTTTAGAAGAACAGGCTTATTCTACTTTATAATTCACCAACCAGAGGAAAAATAAGTACACAAAATAGTTTTGCACGTTAATGCAAACCATCCCACCCCCCCAAAAAAAATTTTAAAAACCAACCAACCAAAAAAAAAAAAACAAAAACCAAAACCTAACTTTACCTTAATACAGTAAAGGCCTCTGAAAGCAAAAAATTAAGAAATATGTAGAGTTTAGTTAAAAAGAAACACTGGGAACAAACAGCAAAGATTCTTCAGGTATCAGATCAAGCTCTCACTAAACCACAGATAATTCATGACACCATGCCAAGCCACTATTTCCACTGTAACAGATCAAATCCTTAGGTCAGTTTTAGCATTTTCTGACAATACTTTTTGTAGAGACTAAATATAATTTCCTTACAGTAACTTGTTTTGAATAAGCAACTTCTCAAATACATTGTTTGAGCACTTAAATATTACCAATGTAAGTAGCTTCTTAAAACAACTTAGAAATGTGACTATGTCTGGTTAAAAAGAGCTAAATTTCAACAATTACAGTATAGTTCTAAGTGTAGTATTAATTAAATAGAAATGAACATTAAATATTTTGTAAAATATCGTAGTTAAGTATAGGTTGATTTATTTATTTTTGTATAAGGTCCCATATTCCTATTACAGGACAATATGCATAAAACGGGTCAGTAGCAGCAAGTAGAAAATATTAATCTCTACACATTTTATTTTATGACACACCAGTTAAAGCCAAAGTCTGTCACTGCTTCTGAGAAACACATGGATAAGTCTGCATACATGTTGTACTTATAGTTTATCATGGTCTTTCTTTTCTCCACTTCTGTTTCAGATTCAGGATTTCCAGAAGTACAGGAGTTCAAAAAAAGGAAATTGACATATGAAAGAGTCCCTGGAAGAAGAGATGGACAAACACGTCTTAAATTCTTTTGAGCAGAATGGGGATTTGCATATTACATACTTCTTTTATTCATTCTTGAACTCTTTAAAAGGGAAATAAATTATTGTTAGTTTTTAGAAAGAAGTTAGGATTTGGAAATTCTTACTAGATCAGGATTCTTCTGTATGTTTTTTAAATTTTGCTAAACAAACTAGTTTCTTGAAGCTGCATAATTACTGTTTCTCTGTTGTCATGGGTGAATGACTTTATCACTCTTTATATATTAAAAAAATATTAATGGAAAAAAACAGATGCTGAGGCTTGCTCTGAGTTTTCAAGGCACCTGTGTTTGCTCCCTGAGCCTGCTGCTTTTCCAGTGTAAAGGACAGGCTAGATCTGCCAAAATCTCAAGACATCTCAAGGCTTCTCAAAGTCTCAGAGATTTCTTGCTGTTGCAGCTGTGACTTTTGTAGCTGTCCCCTGGGCTCTGTTCTACTTTTCTTCTGACAGCTTCTTCAGGAATGAGTTCCTGAGCTCATTTTAATCATACTTAGTCTAGGAAAAAGCTCTTTGTTTTATGGACAACATGAGAAGACTGCATTGAAATTTAGCATTCTCATAGATTTGATTCAGGGAACTAAGCTGTGACCCTCACCCCAACCTGCTGGAGGCCATTTGTTGGCATCCATGTTTTTCAGCCTTCTGCAGGGTATTGGCAAGTATGGGGGGGATGAAAGTCATCTGGGAGGCAGATCCAGATATTATAGGGTACAAATAGAAGGGGTAAAAGATTGGATTAAAAAAAAAATTTTTCTCAGTTACAGGATAGGATAGTACCCAAACCCTCACCTTCCATCAAAAGATTTGGCAACAAAACTGGAAATATGTGTGGGAGCAATGGGAGACAGTAACTCCATTCTGCTGCAGGAATGCATAAACGGTTTGCACAGGCATGCCAGCCAGATCCAGAATGTCTCTCTCTGTTCAGGGACCTTCAGTTGAGATGATTCAGGTTTCAAACTCATTAATCTTTTTTAATTTGATGCAGTAACAGAAGGGGGGGCAGGCAGGGAAGTAGTAAAAGAGAAACCACCAAGTTTAAGGTTTATGCTTGCATTTAAATATTTGACATTAAACCTTCGTTAAGCACATATTCTCTATTTGAGTAAATGAAACCAGCACTTAGGGAAGAAAGATTTGGTCTCTCAGAGAAAACAGAGTGCTGGTTTTTGACTGAATTCTTGAAAAAAGCTTGAAAAAGCTATGACAGCACTAACTGCAATTTTAATTCACAGTCATATACCTGAATTATTTGTACACTGATTGTGTGGAAGATTTGAGAAAATTCCTTTCACAAGTGGTAACATAAAAAGATTTCTCATAAAATTGCAAACAAGACACTGTTTCCTAGAATAAGAGAAACACTGAAATAAAAGTTGCAATTTGCTTACTATACATGGCCCATTTTTGTGGTCACCTAACCAAACCATTTTACTTCTTCTGCATCATGGGTTATGTTGTTCAGAACTACCACCCAGATTTCTAGAACCAGGAATTTGGTTTTTTTAAAGTACAGCTCTACAAAGTCTCAGTCACAGATGACCACAGTTTGAGAAAATTATAGCTGCCAGTGCCAAGTTATGTATTTATGTTCTCCTCTTCCACAGGCAAAGGCTGACACCAGAACTTCCACATGAACAGTTGTGAAAGCATAGCATAGATAATCTGTCAATAACTTTAAAAACAAAGGCATATTGTCTACATTAAATAAAAATATTCAAGTGCTGTTAGTGTTAAGTTTCCATTAGGTAGAAAAAAAGTCAGTGTACAATTAAATTACTGGTAATGTAGTGGAAGATAAGGAAAAGGGCTTGCAATGATCAATTGTTTTTTACAGTATTTCTTTATGACAAATCTCAGTCTCTCACAGATATGGACACATTGACAAATTTATAAATTACATTCTTCCCCCTCCTTTTGTCTGTTTAATGTGGAGTAGAATTGCTACTGAACCACAGTGATTCCCTTCCCCACTCCTCCCTCCCTTCTAT